CACTTGTAAATATATTGAAGTCATTATAAAAGACCTCAACTAGCTTATTATTGTTAATATCCTCATAATTGTATTGTTTACACTTGAATTTGATATATTTAGTAAACTCTTTAAAGTCAAAATCAACAATTCTATTATCAGCTTATTGTTCCTTCAATAGGCTTAACCATTTTTCGTAGTATTCCTTTTCTTCTTTCGTATATAATTCCTTATCAATAATCTTAGAAATAATCGAGATGTTATCACTATCCGACATGATAGAATATGTATAGGAGTATTTCGAAGGTTGTAGATATTTTGAAGGTTGTAGATAGATTGTAGATATGAGAGATATAAAAGAGTATATAAAAGGTATTTAAATAAAAGATTGGGATACGATGACTCTCACCTGTACGTGGTGTATCCTACGAACCTTCGATCGTGCGATCGGAGAGCTAAGTAGAGTCAGCTGGAGCCGGGTGGTGGTTGTACACTAATCGGAGGCCGTACTGGGAGCGAAGGTACGTGCAGCTGATCACCAGAGGGTGATCGCGAAGATGCTCGGAACAGAGGACTACCAGCAAAACGGAGATGAAAATCATTCGACGGTGGAAGGGAGATAAGAGCGGGATTGATGTGGAACCATACCTTTACGAATCTGTGTGGGGAGCAGAACCAGAGTATATTGCGACAGAGCGTTTGTGAAGCAGAACTAGTTCTTGAAATAGCGGATAATAAAGTTTCTATAATATAGCTGAATCTAACTGAAGCCTGTATTGGGAGCAGGGCCGATATCCTTAATTTGATAAACGAAAATCGATAGAATACCTTTGGGACATTAGCGTGTAGAGTTTTCATAATCCAATAATATATACAATTTGTGGATATACTGAATCGGATATTTACAAATGGTGAGGGGAGTAATAGGAAGTATATAAAGGCTAGAATAGTGTTTACTGAGGCCGGCGGGAGTATATATAGAGTAGGAGGAGGGACGTTTTTAGCACCTTATCTCTAAGTATGCGAAAGCGGTATGGCGGCGGAGGAGCTTTGGTATAGAAAGGATGCTTTTAGCAAGCCATACTCAACAATGCTCGATCGGTATTACAGCGGCAAAGGATCTCAGGCAAAGGCCAATCCTACAATATATATATACAATGTACTCCTAGTGCTCTACTTTTGACTACAAACTATACATTAGGGGAATGGATTTTATAAGCAGAGCTTTAGTTAGTGGGTTGGAAATACTATAGAAGGACTGCCTGGCTAGGGGTCTGAAATAGCAAGCCTGCAAGACATAGTCGGCCTTGTTGTGTAAAAGAGATCTAGCAAGATAATGCAAAACAATTACTAGTTGCAAAGTGTAATATATAATGATAGCGATAGCAACACTATCTATATAGCTTGAGAGGACGGATGTGTGTGTCGGTCTATAATTGGATATTATAGGGCAGAGGGCATGATGGAGGTATTAGATAGGCTTAAGAAGCAAACAGGAATAGAGATGTGAAGGAATAGTTTTGGTTCTGACCGAAACTTCCGAAGGTAATCATGCAATAGGTGGTTTAACGTAGTCAGAAGATTCTACAGAAGCCTAGTACTAGTGGCTTTATCACAAGTGAGCTGGGAAAGCGTCTGTAGGTGTAGCGAACCTACTTTGTATTATAATATATTCTAGAAAGTAGTTATAATATAATTCATTTCTGTCGCGGCCTGCCTCAGGCTCAGCTACTACCCTAACGAGTGGAAACTCGCTGAAGTAGTCATGCTGCCCAAGGTTGGTAAGAAGGACAGGACGTCCCCGAGATCGTGGAGACCGATTGCATTGATATCGTGTATTGGAAAAGGACTAAAAAGGTACATTGCCAATCAAATTGCATGGACAGCCATAAGATACAACATTATCAGCCTTTAGTATTACAGAGCGCTGCCGAAAAGAGCCGGTATTGATCTCACAGCTGCCTTCACTTATAATGCTGAGCTTGCTTTAGCAGCTGGCAAAGTGGTCATATTAGTAATAATGGATATACAAAGCGCTTATAATGTATTCCTTAAAAGACAGCTCCTATAATGTATAAAGAAGCAGGGTTGGCCTATAGTGTTCTTGCAATTCGTTGATTCATTCCTAACTGGAAGATGTATGTGTATAAGGCTTGAGGGGATCACAATACAGGATTTCCCGATCGCATGCGGTACTCCCTAGGGATCACTACTCTCCCCTATCCTGTATACCCTTTACCTTGCTGAGCTTTTCAATCAAGATAGAGCATAACGTTTCGGATATACTGACGATATAGCTATATATTACACATTTAAGGACCTATCCATAAATATATATATACTTTACCAAACCGTTCGACGTATCCTACAATAGGGAAATCAGAATAAGGTCTTTTTCGCTCCGGAAAAGTTTGAGCTACTTTACATATCGAGGAAACATAAAATTACAAATCCAGTTATAAGGATAAGTCAGGACCTAGTCATTACGCCAACCCCTCTAAGGTTTACCAACAAAGTACAACCGACTTTACATTGGCTTAGCGTCTTTTTTGATCAACATTTAACATTTCTATAGTATATCAAAATGCACATTGCGAAAGCTATACATGTTATATCCCATATCCGATCAATAGCTTATACAGCCTACAAACCATCTACAGTCTGTTTGCAAAAAGCAATCATTACCTGTATACTCTCTGTCACCCTCTTTGACTCCGAAGTATAGTTCGATAAACTATACAAACAACGCCTAAATGCAAGCCATGTTTTGGTTGGCATCGGGATCAAGAAACATGTCAACTTAGTCAACAAGACGATTTATAGTACAGTATAGAGAGCTTTATCTGTCTACAAGATAACCCCAACGATCGCACTTCTTGTAGAAGCTGGTCTCCCAGTTGAAATTGTTGTATTAGAGCAAGCCAGATTGAGGTTTGTATTTCGATTTCAAATAATAAATATACAACATCTACTTGTAAATTGATTGAAGTTGTATATCAAGAAAAGAAAATAAGATATAGATATTCTGAAAGATCCTAATACAAAACTGTAAAGAATAGAATAAGCGATCTCTACCATCAAGCGCCCCAAACTCTTATAATCTCACTTCTCTTCCAAATACTACACCGATCCAACAAATGATATAAATAAAAAGGATATTGCAAAAGTATTCAAGGAATAGTAAGATTTAATTCTTTAAGAAGATTATTTTGTATTTTCAGATAAATCTAACAATATAACAAATACAATCATTACATGGGGTATGGCTTTGTAATCTATTGCAACAAGTAACAGATTGATAGTGGTTATAGCTATATATACAAACAATCGCATATTTTTAATACTAAAGCAATCAGCATATAATAGGGACTAGAACATCTCCTGAGCATTATTGATTACCCCTATCAGAAACGAATATAGTTATATATTAATAACACCTTAATAATCTAGAAAATGTAAAAAAACACTACTGCCTCCTCTTAATAGGCATATTACAAGTACTATCAAACAATACAACATTATAATATTGTAATTAAGTAGTCCTCTAAACATACTAAGATTAAAGACAACAAGACAGCCGATCGCTTCGCTGATTAAAGTACAGCTAGGCCATTTGACCCTAGCCCATCCTGCCTCCCCACAGTCAACAGCTCCCACTCTGTTCTATATACCAAATATCGGTATTCCAAAAGCAGATAGTGAAAAGAAAAAAGAGGCCTGATCTCCGAAACGTACAATACATGGAAACCGATATATAATACCTTAAAGCCAGAAAGCCTCAAGCTCCCTTGTGGGGTATTATATAGATTTATAACGATACAGACCAAATACAATAACTTTACAGCCTATCACATTAAATTCAATCACGAAAATAGCACAAATATTTGTATATACAGAATTAAGAAAAGCCCACTGCATTTCTTTCAATATTCAATTAATAATCAAACACACAATAACTAATTACTTACACCAAATCAACTTCGATTCGAATAGGACACAATAGCATATATCAACCACATCCTGCAAACATAATATAGCTTTACTAACCTTCTCGCTAGATCCAGATTTTATACTAAAATATATTCAAACTATACAAAACTACACGAATTCCAACCTACTCCAATACCCCAAGAATAAGCTCTCTACCCTAATTAATCTAAGACCTGCACCGAACAGCTATAAGCGTTCTAAGTGCTCTCCCGATCGACAGCGATCAACCTGATTATCCGCCAACACCCGGATAGTATACGAAACAAGGCTCTCTGAAACAAAACCACAAATCTTTAGATAAAATAGCCACAGGATTGTTATAAGCAGTACTGAACGGGGGAATATCAGAGGCAACAAGCCCCTGATTAACTAACATTACACTACTATAAGCGGCTGGAATGCTAGCAGCCCATAGGCCCGCTCCTTAGTACGTCTAGAATACCTCTTGGGAGGTTAGATATTAGATATTAATCACTATAAATAAATAAATAAATAAATAAAAGATTTACCTTATATAACATACAATACAAAAGTGAATACATAATAAACACAAAATCGATTTGTCATACTTGACCAATCGATTCTTTTGAATATATTTTCCTAATATAATTATCCAAAGTATATTCTTTAGCACAACAAGAAAAGAAAGCACACCATACCCAATACAATAATATCTTTCTTTATAATCTCTTCAGAATTTCTATTAATCCTGAATACTACTTCTAAACACCTAATACTTTCTAATAGAATCCAAAACCCTAATTTGTAATATTACTAATTAGTATTGATATCAATTTGGTATTGATTAAAGTGTAAAGTATTTTAGTCTTATCAATATAATTGATTATATTTGTTCTTCTTCATTATTAATTATAGGAAGCTAATATTTAATATAGTAGAAGTGCTAGCGCTAGTGCATACGCTAGTACATACGCTAGTGCAATACAGTGCCCTCTTAGATCACATGATCGATATCCCGACAAATTCCTATGTCAATGCTATCCGAATACTTCTTCTTCACTATGCCTAGACTAACCAAAAGTGTAAAACCATTGAAAAAAGCTCCCAACCTGTCCTCGCAATTCCTTCGGTGCCATATCCGCATTAAACATTGGAACAAACACACTTGCGGCTCCAAGACCTACGCCAGCGATAACTCTCCCAGCATAAAATACTGCCATACTATGAGAATTGACAGTCTCCATTATGGCACCAATAATGAAAATAAATGAGGCGATCTGCAATGATAATTTGCGCCCGATGCGATCCGCAATGGGCCATATGAAGAAACATGCTACAAAAGCACCCGCTTGCTGCAGGCCAACCGCAAGAGAAGTCACGCGAGTTGCATGAGCGGTCGAATATTTGAAATCATTTACGAAAGATTTGAGAGTCAAGACTCCACCTATTCATCGTTAAAATTCCATACTTATACTACTGTGCTGGCTTTATCACGATGTACTTACCAACACTATATGACTGTTAGTAAATCAAAAAATATAGCAAACACACAAGCAGGTGAGTAAGAAATGAAGGGATACACACATGCCACTATCATAACCAAATAGAAAACCCCCCATACAAACTACACTTGCCAGCCAGTACGCTCTTACTTTGCCAAGTGTTGAATTCTTCATAATGACTACCTTGGTCAGAAATTAGACAAGACCTAGATATTCCACATTGCAATGCTAGATCTTCGGGACTTTCATCTAGTTGTATATAATCGACGTAAATTTCAGTCATTTCCAGCATTCTGCTTATCGTTTCCGTATCTCATGTGGTCATCACAAGCATTAATCACGTCTTGACAGGCATATCCAATTCGACGAAGGCTGCATAGTATGGGGAAGAGCGACAAGGGGGAGTGATCTATTTCACTGGACCGCGCAATCCATTTCGTGCGGGGTACATTGGTGTTGTCTGATATCTATATGATTGGATGAAAATAGATTATGCTCCACTTTTGTGGTCAATGATTATGGAATTATACTTCCGAAGACTGCAACATCATCTGAGATTGAGACTACTGCATATGTATTGGCGATCAATCTAGCTATGAATATATTTGGTCTTCTGCTCCAATCATGGAGCATTCATCGAGGTACTCAGTCCACTCTCTTACGAATACTTGTGGAGTGCAACGCGACGAGCATGCCGCTAATGCTTTGACACTTGGTCAACAGAAGAAACATCATCTGATCTTTTGTGAGTACAATTATGTGAGTTTATTCGAGGTAGGTAAAATCTCCATGGTTGAAAAGCAGACGGACTCGATATCAAAGTCGTGTCATATCCTCTTTATCACTCTCTTGTCTTTGCCCTTCTCGGCATCAGGCTACAAACGTCATACCGGACTTGAGCCTCACTCCATCCTCGAACAATAATGTCCTCTCCAAAACGTCCCAACTTTCTCGTAATTGTCGCCGATGACTTGGGATTCTCGGATCTCTCGTGTTTCGGAGGGGAAATTAACACTCCAAACATTGACAAAATAGCACAGGCCGGAATCCGCTTTACGGATTTCCATGCTGCAGCCGCATGTTCTCCATCACGAGCAATGATCATGACAGGTACCGATCATCATATTGCCGGCCTTGGAAATTTAATCGAGTGGACCAATATTTCCGGGCAAAATGATCCGAGTGGGAAGATGTCGACAGCGCCGCAGAGAGGTATGCCAGGGTATGAAGGGTACTTGAATGAGAAGGTTGCTACGTTGCCGGAAATTTTAAGAGATGATGGATATTTGACTTTGGTATGTTTGGTTTCCCTTTTCTCTCCTCGTGATAATCACCATCATGATAATATGCTACCTAACATTAAGCTAATCCACTCAGATGGCTGGAAAATGGCACCTCGGTCTAACCCCCGAGCGTTCCCCAAAAGCTCGTGGATTCGAGCGAAGTTTTGCTCATCTCCCCGCCTGCAGTAATCACTATGGCTACGAACCTCAACTCCATGCTCCCGACCAAATCCCCGAGTTTATGACTATGAGTTTTATAGCTCTCCACAGTGAGGATGGAGAATATGTTAAGAAGTTACCCGAGGATTGGTACTCAAGTAATGGGTATGGAGATAAGATGCTCGAATATTTAAAAGAGAAAAATGAAAAGAAAGATGAGAGACCCTTTTTTGGTTACTTCGCTTTCACAGCTCCTCATTGGCCATTACAAGCTCCCCCAGAATTTGTGGCAAAGTATAAAGGAGTATATGATGCTGGACCCGATGCGCTTCGTTTGCAGCGTCTTCAACGACTGAAAGATCTCGGGTTGATATCTCCAGATGTGGAGCCGCATCCCGTTGTTGCTGATGAAGTGAAAGAATGGAACGATCTCACTGCCGAAGAAAAATCAAAATCGTGTAAAGCGATGGAAGTATTCGCTGCGATGGTTGAATGTATCGACTACAACGTTGGACGCGTGGTCAAATATCTAGAGGAAACTGGAGAGCTCGATAACACTTTCATATGTTTCATGTCAGACAATGGTGCTGAAGGTGCTGCTTATGAAGCTTATCCCATTGTCCAAGGAAGCATGATTCAACACTTACAAAAATACTACAACAATAGTTTAGAGAATCTCAGGAACGGAGATAGTTTCATCTGGTACGGACCACGCTGGGCACAAGCTGCCACAGCACCCAGTCGCCTTTACAAAGCATATACCACCGAAGGAGGTGTTCGAATTCCATTCGTTGCTCAATTCCCCTCAAAGTTCAATACCTACATTCCCAATAGTATAACACACAACTTCGCCACCGTAATGGACCTCGCGCCCACTATCCTCGAAATGGCCGGAACCCAGCACCCGGCACCCACATATCAAGGACGGGAAATAGTACATATGCGTGGCAAATCTATGCTTCCATTCATATCCGGAACATCCCCCCGTATCCACGCCGAAGAATTTATCTCCGGCTGGGAAACCTGCGGCCGAGCTGCTTTGCGCAAAGGATCTTGGAAGATTGTATTCATACCCAAGCCCAAGGGAACCGAAAAATGGCAACTATATGATCTTTCTGTTGATCCTGGAGAAATACATGATTTGGCTGATGCACAGCCGGAGAAATTGAAAGAGTTGATCAAACTCTGGGACGAATATGTGTTGGAGACGGGAGTCGTATCGCTTGCACCTGAGCTAGGTAACTGGCTGAAGGCGACGGAAGAACAGATGCCGGAGAATGTATGGATGGAGTATGAGTATTGGAAAGATGGAGCGAGGGATGAGCCGGAGAAGTTTAGAAGGGATGTACCCAGGTTTGAGAGGGTTGTCACAGGATTCTGAGGGGGTATTGGGAGGGGTTTGGAGGGAGAAAGATGGGAGGCGTACGAATGCAATTGGTTTGTATTTTGTTTCTCGGGGTTATCACAGAAGCCCTCATAAGTAGCCACTATCTGCTCATCGTCTTACGACTGTGTGTTGTATAGCCAATAGCAAATGCTTGTCTTTATACCTAAAAACTGTACGAATTATCAAAAGTAAGGTATCAGAAAAGAATCACCAACCTGCATGAGAAAATGCGAGATAAATCTAGTTTGTTGTGAGTGATTCAGCACTCGATATGAGTGATGACTGTTGTTGTTCTGATCTTCATATTTGTGTTTGTTTGAAAGCACTAGCTCTTGATCCTATGCTAGCATTCTTCAACATCAAAGAGCCATCCAGCTGCATCCCTTAATTTCCTTGGCGAGTAATAATACCTATTCCCCCCTTCCTCCAAACAGAAAGCGAAATCATCCCTAAAATCCCTCTGATCTATATATTCAAGATAACAGAAGTGCGTGTTCTCCTTAATTCAGCAACAAGCACAAAAATATCTATGTATTACATACATAAAGATGGAAGGTTAAAGGGTAGACAAGACGCAAAGAATGGGGAACAATAAACCTACTGCACGTAATTACATTTTCAAGATATCATTTCATGCTATTGTCGCCCCCAGCAGCAATGAACTAGAAGGATTTTTGAGTATCTAAAGGTCAATTCAAGAAATTTGAAATCCAGCACGTAATAATTTCATTTCTCAAAAGTATGTTTGAGGATATGGGATTCTAATCATTGTTTCGTAGATTGGCATCGATTTATATGTCTCCCTTCCTTAACCTCTAGTCCTAAATTGACGCATAGCACGGATTTACTTGTCAGATCGCCATCGTATGTATGATAGCTATGTAGTTACATATCCAAAATGAGTGAATAAATGAAGCACACGATCGAAAACGGTTGGCTAATCCTCCATACTCATAATATGATGCAATACATATATACCACCATCCCAAAACTGTACAATAAGTAAACACTGATCCCGACTTTGATACTGGAGAATCAAACGATTCCTCCAGCCATATTGCTCATCGCAATTAATCAAACAACTTACTTATTAAGAAACAAATCCACATTGCAGTAATAGTTTTAACCCATCTATTTCGGACATGACGATTGGACAAAGAACTGTAAGCTCAATACTCACCGTCTGATATCTTCTCTCAATAATCTAATCAGGCGTATCATTCATTTTATTCACATGGATGGATCCTGACGTTCCCGACGAGTTCGCGTTAAATATGGTGAACTCGTTTTGGTGATGAAAACATCTTCGTTGTGATTTTCAGACGTTATTTATTGTGACTGATATCATCATTACATCGCCATCATCAAAATCTCAATAGAAATTCTGAAATCCCGAATATTGAGACGAGGGACCCAATCGAATGCCCTCAAAATATAACAGCGTGTGCATCTATATAGTAACCAGAATGGACTCAGATGCCTAGAAACCCAAGACCTTAAATTCAGAGAACGACTGGCAAGAGGTTTGGTTCGGAAAAAAGATGAGGAGGTTTTGAAAGGGGATCCTACAAAAAAACGAGTAGTGCCTTACTATTAAAAACTCGAGAATGATTCTCTATTTCACATTAAAGGAGGGGGGGGAGAAACTTGATAAGATGTATACTCAGCAGCATCATATCATGCACGCATTCACGAACAAAATGGGGGGGATATCACATGACTACTCATACTCTACCGATTCACTCCTCTATCTTTAGCAAAACGACGACACTTTGATAAGAAGTACCGAGAAGAAAAATCCATTTATTTCTCTTCCCTTTCCCACTCCTCTCCCATTCCTCTCCCACTCCTCTCTCAAAATATTCAAGAGCAAATATTCAATAGTGGATAATGTTCCGTGGTCATCATCTATCATCCGACTGCTCCGCCCGCTGACATCTATCAATCTGTACCAGTACCCAACCGCACAATCTGATATTTGAATGACAGAGCGGATTACATACCTAAATCCTTCTCGGTCTTCGGATGACGGTCGAATGTGCATGTATGGATAATCATGTTTGTAGCGTGGAGGTTCAAGGTTGATGTTGTTGCGTTCCAGGGAGTGAAGTCGATTTCACGGAAAGATATTGTAGGGTGTGGAAATAGAATAGTGTAGCTTTACCACGGAGGGTTTATAACTGGGTGCGGATTTGGATATCAAGATTCACATCTACTATCAGCTGAGTACTAATGTGAAATGTATTCTCCGGAGTCCGTAGGTATTCTTCACGATCATTCACGTCCCCCGTATCCAAAGTTTGATACTAAGCCCTGAATATGCTCTCTTGGTGGTCCGTACTGAGCGACTTAATGAGACTTCGCTAGCCTCATTTCTCTCCTGGCTAAAGAATCATCCACTAGAACAAAAACAGGCTACGAGTCTACGAGCCTCACCGTTCGCCGGACACCGCAGAAATTCCGCACCCGTCCAAACAATTCACGCATCAAATGTCCAATTATGGAACTCAAATTTGTAGAAGAATTGACACCCATCAATGAAAACAGCAGACTCGACTCCATAGAAAAGATAAGAACTTCAAACTCGTAAGCATCTGAGAACTTCCAATTACCAATCAAACACATTCATCTACCCGCCTTGCGAAACTTCGCCTCCTCAATCTGCATCAAAGATCCAAACTCCACCCTAAAAAAATATTTGTAAGCAGTGAAGTTGTCATATCACGTGAAATGTCGTGCTTTTTGTTAACAATGACACAAGTGAAAGCAATCGGCAGGGGTTATCAAAGCTATCCGATTACCGAGAAGATGATTTGAGGATCGACTTTTCGATATGAGGAAAACTGATCTTGGTCAATTTTAGCACGAGACGCTTTCTGTTAGTGAAGAATCAACAAGTAAGTGAACATCGAAAGGTCGATAGGTACAATGAAGGAAACAGGTTTATCTTAAATAGAAATCCAAAGCCCGAATGAGTTTAAATTTGTAAAAATAAGTGAAAAATTGCCACCGCAAAATCTAACTCCAAAAATCTTCAATTAACAATTCGATATGCAAAGGACTCGAGATTCAGGAACCAAAGAGGAATAAAGAACCTTCTCTTGCATCACAGCCTCTCAAAACTCTACCTCATACAGTAAAGTCAGGAAAGTGGTTCACCAAATAAAACAAGCATAAAGAAATGATAAGACCTCAATCCTTACTAGCGTCTATCACGCCATATCAAATTCTCAAATTAAGGCAATAAGGCAGCCAGGTCTCCCTCAAGCCTCGATGACAGCACTTACTGCCCACGGAGTTATGGCACGGTAATGCGGTAATGAAAGAAAGATTACTTGTCTTTGCCTGATGAAGTGTAAGTTCGTCTTTGTAAGAATAATGAAATGTCGTGCTTTGGTGTGATGACCCACTTTTCTTTTGTAATTGTCGATGGGAGAGATATACCAAGAGAGTATATACCAGCACTCGAATCATCTTTCCTACTTCACTCCCACTTCAACTTCTTTTGCATTGTGTGATCATACTCTCTACCTCTTTATAATACCTCTACACAACATACTATCATCTCAAATCACGTCTCTTTATCATATTCTCTTGCAACTCGTGAAACTAAATTGGATCACACCATCGAGAAGATAATTGTGCCATTTATTATTGCTGGGCGTTTGACATCACTTCCTCTTTCAACTTTCAACTTGTCATCAACCTTATATAACTTTTACTCTTTTCTCTAAAACAAAAGCAATATCCCGAGAAAAAGTTTGTTTACTTGTATTCGACTTGCTATTTCAAATCAATAAAAAGTTTTCTTTCGCTCAACCGAAAAAATATATCAACATGGGACTCCACCGCGAATCATCTGCCTCGAATCTCGAGTCAGGATATGCTTCTGGAGCATCATCTCAAAGCTCTCTTCCTCAAATTGTCCTCACAAGACCTCACCTCAAGTTTATCAATGCATCACTCAACAATCTTCAACCCATGGACATTCTCCGATGGGCTAAAATAACCTTCCCCAACCTCTACCAAACCACTGCTTTCGGAGTAACAGGTCTCGTCACACTTGATATGTTAAGTAAGCTACAAAAGGAGACACCCGAGCTACCAAGTATCGATGCCATCTTCCTTGATACCTTGTATCACTTCAACGAAACACTCGAATTGGTTGAGAAGACCAAGAGCAGATATCCAAATGTAAACTTGCATGTTTACAAGCCAGAAGATTGCCAAACTGTTGGAGATTTCGAGGGAAAGCATGGCAAGGAATTATGGAAGACCAATGCCGATTTGTATGATTGGGTTGCCAAGGTCGAACCCGCTCAACGAGCATACAATGAGCTGGATGTTGCTGCAGTCTTGACTGGTAGAAGAAGAAGTCAAGGTGCCAAGAGAGAGAGCTTGGACATCGTCGAGGTCGACGAAGCTGGCTTGATCAAGATCAACCCTTTGGCAGGATGGAGCTTCAAGGAGGTACAAAACTATATCAAGGAGAATGATGTTCCATACAACGACTTGTTGGACCGCGGATACAAGAGTGTCGGAGATTGGCATTCAACTGAGCCAGTAAAGGAAGGAGAGGACGAACGTGCTGGAAGATGGAAGGGGACTGAGAAGACCGAGTGCGGAATTCACAACAAACGATCAAAGTATGCACAATACTTGTACGAAATGGAACAAAAGAAACAACAAGAGGAACTGTACGCAGCGTTGGAAAAGGTTCAGACCAGGGAAGAGAAGATTGAAGATATTATTGTCGGAGTGTAAAGTTATCAGCACTCGCTGTCTTGCCTGTCGCAGTTTTTTTCTTTGCAATCTTCTCGTTCCAATATAGCACACCTTCCATGGTCGGAGTTTTGGGGAACATCAGTGGGATAAACACATGAGTTATGAGCATTGGAGTTGCAGGCGTTTAAATAAAGGGAAATCATACGTTACCTTACCCTGGTTCTTGTCTTGTTTAAATCTTGGAGGCTCGTTCTTTTGATGCTCGTCATCAAAAGTTTCAGTCTCGCTATTGTATATAGCGGAAACGACTTAATGAAAGTTACATTAATGCAATTCAGATTCTTGCTGTGATTTCGTTTCGATGTGTTTTTGATGTGAAAAAATGAAGTCGCCGATGATATGACGCCAACGAAATCTGGTGTTGGTGACACACGGTCTTGTCACAGTCATCCTCGTTAGATAACACCAGGTAGTCATGATCTTGAAATATATTAAAAGATCATCATGTTGTGTCCCGGCGAGGTCTAGAAAACAGCCAGAGGCAAGTTTGAGGATAATCCTCTCCAAGGCGCATTTCCCAAAAGGTCCAACGTATGAGCTGACAAGAATTCAAATCACCAGGTGAGACAAGTCTGATCTTGTTTGTGCAATCGAATCCGTATCTCACCATCACAATAGATCCAGAAGCTTATGAAACGAAGCCACTATCTGTGCTGATATTAGCGGTGAGCGGTGAGGGGAATGTGGAGGAGCTGATTGTTGAATCCTAGCGGGCGACTATGGTGCTCCAAATATTGATATCGTCTAGTTAAAGACGCTGGGGCATCAAATGGGGACGAGGTGAGGCTTGTTATCGCCCGAAGTAGTAGACTGGGGTAGCGTTCGGCATTTTGGTAAGAATGATAAAAATTGAGTTTGCGGCATTCGGCTCGGGCCACTGCGGGGAAAGCGGCCGCTGTCGCCACTTACGCGGGAATCTCAATGCCAAGGATAATGACGACACTGCTTTTGACGCTTTTGCTACAGGAATTCTAGAACGCATGGAAAAGAAAACATGGCATTTAGTTTCCTCGTACGTAGGTACCTACCTCGAAACTACCTAGTAGGCAGTAATTCTTCTTGTCAACAATTCTTTCGTTTGTTCTTCTTCTTTTAAACCCTCACATTCCTGCGAGTGTACCCAAGAACTACAAACAATCAAAATCGAGAATATAACCAAAATGTCAAGCTCAATGGAGAAAGCAGGCGCCAAAGCCAAGGAGGTTGCGTACGTTCATTCGGAGCACTACCCCTCTGTTCGCAGTACTAATGAATTTCAAACAACAGAAAGGAAGACTTTGATAAAGCAAAGGAGCTGGCACGTTCAGCAGCAATCAGTGGCGCTTACCTCTACCCCATTAAAGTCCGTTGAGTTCTAAATCATATCTTTCTCACTGTTCTATCGTATCACAAGCTGATCATTTCCTCAAACAGGGAATTTTCTACTTCCTCTCGCATCGCACATTATGGAAACCCCTCTTGTCGAAACTCGTACCCACTCTGTCTCTATCCGTCATCGTCGTGGTTGTGATGTTCATGTTTACCTATCTGCCACAACTTGCCGTTCTCATTTTCACCGATGGACCTCTCGCTGCAGTCTCTGCAGTCCTCTTGACCCTCTCTGAATCTAGCACAATTGTCACTATGCTTTCCAAAAATTTCCTCATTGCAGATGCTCTTGTTGATACATTTGATGGAGTGATGGTGGCAAAAGGTCAAGCAGACGTTGTACAAGGGGGACGAGAGATCAAATCAGGAAAGTTTGGTGATCCAATGAGAAAGTTGGGTAAAGTTGTCAAGGGATATGGTCAAAAGTATAGCTTTGGAGGCTTGGTGAGATATTTGATGTATCTTCCATTGAATCTTATTCCAGTTGTTGGTACGGTAGTCTTTGTTGGTCTGCAGGGACGACAGAGAGGTGAAGGGGTTCATTCGAGAGTATGTCTCAATACCATTCTTTGACAAATACATTCAAGCTGACAAAATCATTAGTATTTTCAATTGAAGGGATGGTCTAATGCACAAAAAGAAGCATGGCTTAAAGAGCACTCTGGGGCATACACATCGTGAGTTTTTCTTCCAATGTCGCCTCTCTTATTTTTCACATACCCCTCGTTTTTGCAGAGGTCAAACGGCACGGCTTTTGATATCTGCATTGCATTTGTACTCAGCAAGTGCAGTGCACCTATCAGTTTCCGCCCTGTCTCCTGCACACATCAGCTCTATAAATGCGTCTTTGACAGGTATCACAAAGCGAGATGACACTGCTTTTTTTTTTCAAGATCTACCGGTACAGGTTTTATTTAACTCACTTTCATGTAGATTCGGAACCGTCGCAACTCTTCTTGAACTTGTCCCTATTGCATCTATTCTCTTCTCATTCACCAACACAGGTAATTACCCCTACTTTTTAGCTCTACTACTAGACCCATGCTAATGATTTCTCAGTTGGTGCAGCATTGTGGGCCGCCGATATCGAAGGTAATGGCACGACTATGACTGAAATTTCTTCGCCCCAGGCGCAAAAAGAAGCTCTAAGAGCCGAGTAAAGCCCTTTCTGCAGCCTCCCGAAATTGGCTACAAACGGTGCAACTTTCGGCCAGTCTTCGTACTCCTTCGTTAATTCGCTTGAAAGATCCCCTGTAGCACAACTTTTCATCTGTGCATGAATATCCTCGCGGTTTCTGGTTGTTGGTAACCATTAGTTTGTCTTCCTGCCGATCTTTGACGGTGAATATGGCGTTGGTAAATTGGTAGCGATGGAGTGGAAATCAGGTATGGCTTGGCGAAAAACAAAGGATGGTAGTTATTAATGATTTGCGCTGTTCTTTTCAAGAGCTTTGAATAAACAGATGATTTCACAACTTGCATTATCTAATGCAAATTTTGCAATATGAAGCCACATTATCAAGTACGTCAATGCTATTACACTGATCAGTACTTGTGAGGCAATTATTCCGTCTGCGGAATCCCCGGACATGGTGCACAGCTAGAGATTTCATCCTGAAATCCCTAGATCCTCGTCTATCGCGTAAAATTCTCTTGTACTTGCAAAATTCGAGTCACTTTGAATCTGGAGAACAGTCAATTGATCATTACTATAGAGTTTCTGGTAGATTGCATTGCATCTGCGATCAACGGTGCGTTTGTTAACTCTGATGATGGGTGTCTTGACCAAGATATGCAACAAGGCTGGTTGTTAGTAATACAAGTTGTCTCTTGGAAACGGGCTTCAGAAGCTTAAGTCGACTTGACTTCTTTGGGTATTTACAGCTGGAGATTCACGTTGATAATATTGGAATTGGATGAAAGGGACATTTTCACATGCAGGAACAAACTCATCAAGTCACGGAACGGTGCATCCTCGCTCGTTGCGTTGTCCAACTTACTGGACGGGAATGCAATGCAGCTTACCGCTGTGTAACTTCAATCTAATGGTACGTTCCTAGTCGTTTGAATTTGAGAGACAATTTTATATTGCAATCTTTGAGAAGTGGAAGAGTTTCCACCCCAACTCTCTCAAGGTAACTGATAACCCGGGAACTTGCCATATGGTATGGTCACAACATTTGATGAAACGTAAGGGAGATGACTGGATAACAAGTCTGGTTTTGGGGTGTATAGTAGGTGAGCTGAGTATCTCCGAATGTCTTCTATGATGGGAAAATACATGGCAATGATGGAGTCTCCATGCAGACTTCCTGCTTCATGGGATGTTTTGATAGGAAATTGAATGGGCTTAATGTTAATGATTCAAGTGCTAGTATGGATGAACCACTTTGAGGGAAAGACATGCCGTCTTAATTGGAGGAAAATATGGAATAAACAAAAAGAAATGATGGATACTTGCTGCCTCTTGTCGCTTGCCTGCTTGCCCAGGTACTGTACTGTGTGCTTACCTTACCTGGTCGCCTCGTACCGTTGACCTTGGCTCTTTCTTTTCCTGGAGACGGGAAGTGGATCGAGTCGAATCGGAATCAAGGAGTTGCCGAGAATAGTTCACTGGGCATCTACTGTCTATCTAGGTAGGTACGAGGGAGTGAGGTATCGTATTTATTGCATCATTGCATTCAAATTGAAACCTTTCTACTATTGGGTACCGTGATCGATAAGGCATTCTGATCTTTTCGCCTTTCACCTTAGTGCGCTTATCCTTTTTCCCTTCTTCTCTTATATCTTTCCATGTACTTCAACCTTTCACTTCCCATGCCACAATTCCTTTTCGTTTCATCTCATCCTCTCTTCCTTCCTCTCATAATTTCTCCTCTTATCACATCTCCCTCGAGATTCAGCTGTTTTGAATTGGCTTTCCGGTCTTCAATACTTCAATTTGTTTGAGATATCCTATAATACGGATTGAGTTGTCCTACTCATCTCATTACAACCTCCTTTTAATACCCGCTTTTGCGAAATCACACTCGTTTGTCCTCCTCATCAATAAAATCAAGTGATAGATCGACCTCAAGTATGAATTATCTTCCCATATCTTTTCCTACTTCACAGAAGTCTTCCTACTCCTCTGGAATCAATTGATTTTTCTTAGGTCGTCACTAATTATATCTTATTCATATAGATCAAGATGAAAATCAATACTTCAGCTAGACTTGCGTCCAGCGCTTTTCTTCTCGCGTTAGTTCCTGCTGCTCGAGCTCTGCCACAATGGCTTCAACCTCACCTTCGTAATGCCAATGCAGACGTGTTTGCTCCTCGAGATTATACAATCTATGAGAGAGCAGAGGATATTCAAGATCGCTATACACCATATGGATATGGACCTCAGCCTACCTTCACCATAAACCCAGTCACAACCGCTGATCCTGAGAAGACTTCATCATCCAGCACTAAAATTGGTCAGTTCTTTGATCTTCCTTTTCAATCTTGATTAATCATATACTAATCGAACCAGGTTCTGCTACGGCTTCCGTCTCTGGTTCTTCTGTCAGCGGCATACTTTCCACTGGTACTTCTCCTGTTAGTTTGTATACTGGTCCAGGATCGGTTGAACCTTCTGTTGTTACTTCTTCTACTGTTGCATACTCTACAATCACGGTTTCGGTTTCTGCTACAGAGGGTTCTTCAACGGACTCGGCTTCGGCTTCAAATTCTGATCCAGGAACTTCTGCTTCAGCAACTGGGGCCATATTATCGGAATCTGATGGAATTTCACACACAACACCTGGAGAAACAGACACTACTTCTTCAAATTATAGTGAAAGCTCGCCAACAACATCTGGAGCACCGGATACTACTCCTTCGGAGTCTAATGGTAGTTCGCCAATAACATCGGCAGGAACGTATGAACCCTCTGGTATCACTTCATCGAAATATTCTTCTACCACGCCAAGTACAACCACTACTGATCACTGCAATCATGACAATTGTCTCCGCGAATTCATTCGATCTTCTTCCACTGTTGGACCATTTTGTGCTACATATACTTTGTCAGAAAACACTGCCACTGCAGATCTTCCAACATATGTTTCACAATGCCATGATTTACCATCAAGGATCTCATCTGCGTGTTCATGTTTGAATACTGGTGCCGCCACTACTCCAGGAAATGTCGGTAGCAGCACATCTTCGACACAAGCAGGAACAGAAAGCACATCCCCAACAAGTGGTGCACCAACTTCCTCTGGAGCTCAAAATTCTTCATATTCATCACCTACCGGTCCAGAATCTTCTGCTAGCCAAAGTTCTTCTATCGCTAGTTCTGGAAGTTTAGGCTCTACGTTTACTAATACACAGACCTACACCATCACACCTACCATCACTGTACCTTCTGGAAGTCAGACGACCCAGCCATCAGGAAGTGCGCCAGGTGGCGAGTCAACAACCACTTCACCAGGAAGTGAGGCGACAACCACTCCGAGTACGATAGGAAGTGAGACAACAGCTCCCCCATCTGGTGGTGAGACGACATCGACTCCACAGGGAGGCGAGACGACTCCTAACCCATCAGGGAGTGAGACAACAACTGCTCCTTCTGCCGGCACTACTACTACCTCTGGAGATATAACCCCAAGTGAAAGCTCAAGTAATCCCAGCTACACTTCAGGAGTATCTAATACAGAGTCTGGAACATCTGCGCCTGCGACCTCTACCAGCCCACCTTCCACGCCTGGAAATTCATCCACTCCTGTCGGTCCAATTAGCTCATCAACATATGTTTCTGCTAGTTCATCATCTGCAGGACCATACACAAATACTTCAGCTTCAGCAACCGGTCCTCTAACTTCTGGGATTTCATCATTCACTCCATCTGGCGGTATCTCAGTATCGACACCTGGAAGTTCAAATGATGGTAGTGCCCCTTATGCAAATTCGACATCAGGATCATCTCCAACAACTACAATCGCTTCTTCAGGGACTGCACCATTTATGAATCCTTATCAAACTGGAACTGGTCTTTCTAGTGGAAGTATCTCTGGTGGCATTTCAAGTTCGAGTGCATCGGCACCTTTGTACACAAATTCGACCAGTTTAGCCAGCTCAACTTACCTCGGTACTGCGCCATTATCTTCCGGCTCATCTGGAAGCAGTATTCTGTCAACAGGAACTCTATCATCCACTCCTCTATACCCACTCAACTCGACATCTACATCAAGTGGAGTTGTTGGACCTACAGGATCAGGTGTGTCGGGTGGTATCAGCTTCAGCTCATCTGCCAGTGCTCCTTATCCAACGGGTAATAATGCTTCAACAACTACTGGTCCAACTGGTACAGGGTCTGCACCGACTTCCTCTTTATTAGGAACCGGTACCTCTGGGTCTTCTGTCTCTGGTATCATTAGCTCTTCTGCTGGATCTGTTCCATACTATCCTTATGGAAATAGTACTTCGTATTCAAATGGTCCAACTGGATCTGGAACAGGAGCAGGAAGTCCAAGCTCTGTATCAGGAGGTGTCCAATCAAGTACCGGTGTTTCAAGCTCAGGGAGCTACCCATCTTCTTCTGATGTATCAGGTGGAATCACTTCGTCGCTTCCATCCTCTGCTCCATATCCAATCTCCAACAGTACAGCAACAGCAGGACCCACCAATCCAGGTACCTCAGTATCTGGTGGTCTCACTTCTGTTACTTCTGCACCACTTGGCACTGGAAGCCCACCATCATCAAGCGTCTCAGGTAGCATTAGCACTTCGCCGGCATCTTCCCAACCTTACCAACCTTATCCCTATGGAAATTATACCCTTCCGCCACTAGGCACAGGCACAGGAGGTGCAGCTACATCCACGTCTTTTGGGACCGGGAGTTCACCATCAAGCACCGGTACAGCACCTCTAGGGACAGGAAGCTCAAGCGCTGATTCGGGATTATCTTCATCAATTCCATACCCAACTCCTTCCAATGGAACTTTGACTAGTGGACCAACCGCACCGACAGGAACCTCGCCAATATCCAGCAGTGATTCTGGCCAATCGTCATCGGCTCCATATCCAGCTTCAGAAAACAGTACTCTGACTAGTGGACCAACTGGAACTACATCTATCTTGAGCACTGGCACAGCACCTTTAGGAACAGGAAGTTCGAGTACTGATTCTGGCTTATCATCGTCAGTTCCATATCCAACCTCTTCAAACGGAACCTTAACTGCTGGACCAACTGGACCATCAGGAACTTCACCGGTCTCAAGCTCATACCAATCATCTGTCTCTGGTAGCCCTACCAGTATTGGTAATGCAACTTCAGTAAATCCGACCTCATCTGCCAGTACTTATGATCCTATTGGATCCACTTCCAGTCAAGTATCCGTAGGCACCTCGTTATCTTCGTATTCAGCAACAGGCCCCTTTAATACTAGCACTGGAGCTTCCCATACCACGTCTTCGTCCTCAGGTTAGCTGAAATAAATGATGATTCGAGTGTTTTGAAATTTTGCTAATATTATTTTGAAGGTGACTCTGGCACGTCGATTACGTTGGTAACGTCGACACCATCCACATTTGCAACATCGGTTTCGACTGGCACATATGCTGGCACCAATTCTTCTGCCATCATCTCATCGGCTTTAACTTCTGACTCTGGTTCTTCAATCTCATCCACAGATTCTTCAAGTGCTGCACCTTCTACAAATGCTCCCACTTCAACCACTACCTATTCTCCACCACCAACTTATGCTCCGCCACCTCCACCATACTACGCACCACCTCCACCAAATTATTATGGCTGGGGATCATGGGGCAGAAAGCATCAGAATAGAGATGCTGGTAGTGTTCGCCGTTGGTTCTGGTAAGAATCGAGTACAATACATGGAGCATTAAGCTCAAACACAAATTTTCGCTTCTAGACTTGCTTTCTTTTTGACATTTTGATTGTATTTTCAATCGAAACACATGTTTTCTTTCACTATCTTAATTTTCTTTCTTTTTTACGAACTTTTTCTTCTATGTATGGATGAAGGAAAGCAAGATTCAAAATGACTATCGTGTCAATTAATGCATGTCAGCTTCATTTACTGTATGGTGCTTTTATGACCCAAACAAGAATGAGCTATGAGAGCAGTTAGTTATTTGGCAAGGTTGTATGAAATAGCTACATAAAGATAAAGAAAATAACATATCAGATCAATGTTCTCATTTTATTGATGTTTGGTATGTGAGATATAGGTGCTGATGCAGTTAAGTATCGCTTCAATAGATGATGAAATATGTTTTGCTTTTGAGTGACACCGGCAGTGCTTGATTGCTCTTCAAAATCTTAGGGAACCCGTTTCCTTCGATTTAACTTTTTGTAAATTGAATAAATACCTGTGTATAAGTATAAGTGAACCATCATAACATTGTTTCAATCCATTTTCCATAGAAGCGCCGTGACCGCTGTATTCTGATAAAGCACTGAGCAGAGTAAAGACTTGGAAATTTGTGATGATCACATATATGTTTGGTAGTCTCGAGATAGTCAGAAGGATAGTCAGGTACATTGGGCTCATTGGGTTGCATTTCATCGGAATGACCTCGGATCAGATAAAAGTTACTCGAGTAGTGCTCGAAATACAAAAACACTAATAAATACCCCTCCGCACAAATGAAAGGCTGCTTTCACCCCCACTTCTCTAATCAATCCCTCGCAGAACGAACCAAATTGATTCTTAACTACAGCTTCTAAACTAAGGGTCAAATATTTACCTAGGTAGAGGAAATATATTCAACGCCTCTCAAATTTAAGCAAGATGGCTGAAAATGAAGCATCAGCAAGAACTGGACGTCCCAGCTTAGGCAATAACATGCGCAGTCGTTCCTATCTTCAAGAACATCAACAATATCGTCCTCCACAACAAGATGGCCATCACGGTATAGATAGCATAGTTGAAGGTATTCAAGGTAGCGCGCTTTCATCTCCTACCAAATCTTTCACTCAATTCAATGGAGTCCCTTCTCCACAACATCCTCCAAAGATTGTTGACAGCGGGCTCAATCACACCTTGTCACACGCAAATTGTCAACCTGCGCCAAATACAATTTCCGACCGAATGATCGCAACCCTTATTTACAAAACAAAATCTCCTCGTGTTTCAATCACCGACTATCCACCCGATCGCTCTCCTTCACCAGCTTCCTCTCCTTCCAGATCCTCGGTGACATCTACTTCCCGCGCCATCCCACCAAATCTTGCTCCTGTCCGCACGCTCTCCAACTTCCCCCTCGAGCCTCCACCACCCGATCCAGAACCGCTCGATCATCTCTACGGAAGCTACATCTCGCAGCTTTGTCTTACATCCTTCCTCCACCTCATTCAATCCCTGCCGAGCCGATCCGGTTCCGATTTTCTCTCTTCCTCCCATCGCTGTCTCGACAACCCCGAACATCCATGCATCGTCGAACTCACATTCTCTCCCATTCCCGATCCCACATATCTTGACCTCCAAGATTTGCGCAAACACGAACTTCTCTATCGCTTTGAGCGCGAATGGAATGTCGATGTCATTCTTCAACATGATACCGTCCTCCGACGTTATCCACGCCTTGTGGTTTTCGATATGGATTCTACACTTATCGAGCAAGAAGTTATCGATTTAATCGCTGCTTCGATCGGCGTCGAAGATGCCGTATCTGCCATTACCGCACGCGCGATGAATGGCGAATTGGATTTCTCGGCCTCGCTTCGTGAACGCGCAAAGTTGTTGAAGGGAGTCGATGCAGATATCTTTACGAAATTGAGAAGTGTTATCACGCCCACCAAAGGTGCTGCGGAACTCATTCGCGCATTGAAGAGAATGGGTGTGAAAACTGCAGTGTTGTCGGGAGGATTCATCCCATTGACACAATGGCTCGCGGACCACTTGGGAATCGATTACGCCTTTGCAAATACGCTCGAATCGGATCCTCGCACCAATCAATTGACGGGCGAAGTTCTCGGTTCCATTGTCAATGCGGAAAAGAAACGCGACTTGCTCCTGGAGATTGCGAAGAAGGAAAATGTGCCTCTGGATCAGGTGGTCGCCATGGGCGATGGCGCAAATGATTTGTTGATGATGGGAGTTGCGGGTTTGGGCGTGGCGTGGAATGCTAAGCCCGTGGTGCAGATGGAGGCGCAGGCTAGGTTGAATGGTGAAAGCATGTTGGATCTTTTGCATATCTTTGGCTTGACGGCCGAGGAGATTAAGATTTTGATTTCGTAGAGGAGAGGAGAGGAGGTATAGATAGATAGATAGGAAGGAAGGAAAGAAGAAGATGCTTACTCGTTGAACACGGAATAGGCGGATTGGAGTAGATGATGATTTGATGAAGCTTGCGGGATGAGCAGCATGAGAAAGGAGAAGTAGTGGATTTGCATATCCCTTTTTTCTTTCTTTTTTTTTCTCAATCAATCTACGAGCTGGGTATCGTTTAGCATAAGGGAGCACGAAATACAGATATCATATGAGTGACGAATACTAGATTACATTTTCAAATAACTTTGTCTTTTTTTTTTCAAGGATCCAACTGTAATTGTAATTGTAATTGTAATTGAAAATGCAATTGCAATTGCGACAATACGAATTGTTGCTATGGTGGTGATGATGATACTGATACTGATGAATGATGATGAATGATATTTATTAAACTAATTAGACTCGTATAACCAACTCCAAATTATGTAAATCCAAATCCAAATCCAAATCCAAATCTAACCCGCAAATCGAAAATCGAAAACCAATTCAAAGTCAAATTCCAAATACACTCACTCACTCACTCGCTCAGTCACTCGACTAACTATCCTTCGTGACCTCGGGGCCTAGAGAGCTACTAGGTAGATAGATACATAACCCCCAAAGGAAAGGAATCGCGATTAAAAACTATTAGATAGTGATGAATAGATATTTACAATTATTATCTTTCCTTCTTTCTCTCTCTCGCTGTCTTTCCCTCTCTTTCCTGTTCCTCTCTTTCTCTCCTGTCCACGAGTTGCGCTGTTTCGTTTTGTTTCGTTTCTTTATGTATTATCCAAGCTATGGCAATTTTCCCTCTACCTAATTAATAATTCTATCATTCAATTTCATTCTTCCTTCTCTTCTCTCCTCTTCTCTCCTCTTCTCTCCTCTTCTCTCCTCTTCTCTCCTCTTCTCTCCTCTTCTCTCCTCTTCTCTCCTCTTCTCTCCTCTTCTCTCCTCTTCTCTCCTCTTCTCTCCTCTTCTCTCCTCTTCTCTCCTCTTCTCTCCTCTTCTCTCTTCCCTTTCTCTCTCCTCACAGAATCCCAAATTCCCTCTCCCACTCCCTCCTACTCCTCTCCTCCTCCTCCCTCCTCGCCCTCTCGCCCTTCTCCATCGTCTCCAACTCGGGTAGTATCAATTTCTTCAACAGCGTTTCCGTTTCCGAGGGCGAGGGCGAGGGTAACGGTTGAGTGAGATACGCTGCTTGAGGGATTTGGGTGGAGAGTCTACCTCTCTCACCTCGCTCCCACTCTTGTAGATGTCGCGGGGGTTGCGGGTTGGAATTTGAATTTGAGCGGGAGAGGGGGAGGGAGTGGGGGAAGGCGGGGAGTTCGGCGGGGTAGAAAGGAGGGGATTGGTGGGTAGAGGAGTGGGGGGCGGTGGTGAAGGTGAAGGAGTGTTTGGGGTTGGAGGTGGGGTCGACGGCGGAGATGGGCGCGTGTTGGTGCTGATGTTGGTTGTAGGTTGAGGGACCGAAGACGGGTGCGAGAGAGGGGATGGGATGGCTGGTGAGTGGATGGCTGTTGAGAGGATGGCTCGTGATGGGGACATTGTGGATGCTGCGAGCGGCGGATGTGGTCATCGGGACGTTGTGGATGCTGCGCGCTGTGTCGTCTAGAGAGTGGTAGGACGAGCCAGTATTGATTCTTTGGAGAGTGGGTGTTGAAAGGGATTGTTCAAATTGCGCGAATTGAGAGTAAGGATTGTTAGGGTTGTGGTTTCCGTTGAAGCGAGAATGCTGGTAAGGTGGTGAAGGGGCTCTAGCAAGGGGAGTTGGAATTGTGGGCGTAGATAAAGGACGTTCGCGATCTTCTGGAAGTGGTGGGAATTGGCCGTAGACGTTGTGATTACTGGATGAGGAGCCTGAGGGCTGACTGTGAGGTGATTCGCCGCGTGAAAAGTCTAATGACATGCGTGGATCGCGCGAGTAGTCTAGTGAGGTACGAGGTGGGAAGATAGTGCCAAATGAACCTTCAGAGTGGGACCATGGGTTGTTAGGGCTGGATGGGAGCGTACTATTATTGAGGCTCGATCGAGGTATAGCAGTTGGTAGAGAAGACATTGAGGGTGTTACATCTCGGTTGGCAAACTTAAAACCTTTCCAAGTTTGATTGTCAATTTCATGAGGTAAGATTCTCATCTCATGTTTGTCCTCTGCTTCTGATGATAAATCGAGAGGTGGAGTGGGAACAGGGTCTAAAGGAACATCCTGAGCTTTGCCTTTGTTCTTCTGCGAGTACGATGACGATGGTAACTGTTCCCGGGGTAGTTCTTCTCGTTGATGGCTGGGAGGCTTTCTTTCCATCCACCAAAGGCCTCTATCACTCTTTTGCTTTGCAAGAGGTGCATTTGAGTTCATCTCTCCTTCCTTCTGCTGATCAGCGTGTGATGACTTCTGTGCCTTGCCATTCGTTTCCTTTACCTCTTTCGACGGAGCATCATCAATTTTTGGAACTGAGTGTTGTCTGTGATGTCCTTTTTCCAATTTTTCCTTCACTGGAGATTCATCACGACTTGGAAGTGGCTCTTGATTTGTGCTCTCATTCATCTTCGATTTCTCGTGCCTTTGAACTTTTGCGCTTTTATGGCTCTTGTGACTTTTATGAGACTCCGTTCGCTTAAGTCCCTCGAGCTCTGGAGCTATCAGTTTTCTGATTGCATCATCGACTGCCGAAAGTGCTCTTTCGCCATCCACCAATACTTCTTTGCCATCATGCTTTTGCTCCAAGAGAATGGGAGCATTGGGTTCCATATCACGACCGGAAGATACTTTTGCGGCATCTTTATCGTCTCCATCTCGTTTAGGCTTGTCCTTTTCTTCGTCCTTGCGTTTCTTTTCTTTTTGGCCTTTCCTCAATTTCCTCAAAGCTTCCATCTCCTCTTCTTCCTCCTCCTTCTTCTTCAATGCCTCGGCTTCCTTCTTGATAGCATCCTCAACCGCTTCGAATGCTTTCTTTGTACTGCTTTTACCTTTGCCATGTTTAACTGATTCAGTCCTTCCTACACTCTTCTCATCACTGTCCCAAGGAACTCGGCCAGAGCCGTCCGAATTCTTTCTTGTCATCTCTGGCTCCTTCTTCAACTCTTCCATTTCGGGTATGATTAATTTCTTGATAGCCTCTTCTACTGCAGCCAGTGCCTTTTTGTCCCCAACCTTTTCGTCTCTACGCTTTGATTGTGGACTTCCTATCGAGCTTACTTTCCCAGGAGTCTTTGGTTCCCAATCGCCATCTCTTTCAGTTATGTGAGAAAGTCTGTTAGGAATATGTTCCACTGGTCGCTCTGGCCGTTCTGGACGTCTTGTAGCTTGATGCGTTTCCATCTCCTCTTGTAATTTTTCATATGTTTTAAGTGCTTGTAATGTCAATGGACCGACATCATCTGTCCGGGAAGCGAGATCAAGACTTTTACGAGGTGGAGTAACTTGTTCTGGTAAAACACGCTCAACGACTTCTTGCGGTATACCCTTCTCCAAAACCTGTAAAGTGAAGGGGTCCACATCTTTGACCTTTGTAGGTTCAGGGCTAGCAGGCTCTAATGTTGTTTCGGCGTTAGGTCTTGGCAGAGCATGCTCTGCCAACTTTTGCTGCATTCCGCGTCTCTCCCAATCAAGCAGAGCCGTAGGCTCCGGCTCTTTCGACTTTACGGGCTCGTGTTTACTCCGAGATCTGTACGATTTGGGTTCAAGCGTGATTTGATCCGGATCAAGAACTTTCTCGGGCAGCTTGTTTTCCTTCTCTCTGTTGCCATGAGGTAATGTGACATCTCCATCAATCATACTTTGCCGTGGAAGATTCCAAGGAGCATCGTCTCCTGCGTCAAGAAATTCTTGAAGAAAATCTACCGACCCACGATCTCCCCTACCGAATCCATCTTCATCACCGCCACTCAAAGCACTTTCGTATTCCTCGTGGGTCGACTCGTCTATTTCATCACTCGCAACAACGCTCTCTGGCGGCGATAGTACTCCGCTAGCGATGGATTTGAATGAAGCAATGCTCTTCTCATCTTTGAATCTTGAATGAGACGCATTGGATTTTGGCTTGACTAGTCCTGGCGGTGGACGAGGTATGGAAACATCAAAAGGGTTGTCACCATTTTCGTGGTGGATGGGTGATTTTGGGTCAACAGAATGGTTAGCATGAGTTTCGTGGGGGCGTTTCGTTGAGTTTTCCGGTCTCGTGATGTGATTAGCCTCGAGCTCTTGATATTGTCGCTCATGTAGTAGATCTGGAGGCCCTCTTGCTCTCGAACCCTCTCGTCCTCTAGGCGTCTGGGACGTCTCGGATTTGACGCCTCCCACCCAAGCAGCTACATCCCCAACAATACGTCCTCTATCATCTTTCTCATCTGTCTCGCCCATGGGAATAACTTGAATTCCACCTATAGTGATTGGTTGACCATCTCTAAGCAATCTCGTCCTTTCTCTTTCTTCATGCTCATACCGACCCAGCTCCTCCCAGGCTCTTCTCGCTTCCTCCTTTATAACCTGACTTTCCTTCTTGACTTCCTTCATATCCCTTTCCATAAGCTCTCTATATGTATTTCTCTCTTGCAAAAACTCAAGTTCTTTCTTCTGAGCGTCATCACGCGCATCTTGAACTTTTGCTTCAAGACGAACCTTCTCCTTTTGAAAATGGGTTTCCCAATCTTTCATTGTTTGTTGTTTTTGTTTGTGGAGAGCTTGTTCAATTTGTTGAATGAGAGGGAGTGGGGGTGGGATCTGAAGCGTATCGGAATCAGGTCTACCTCGGAATTCCTTCGGTTGTTGCTGTTTCGAAACTTCCACGCCCAACTTTTCAGATATTTGGGATAGAAGGTTTCTAGATTCTACAAATGCCACGAAAGATACTGCTAAATTTTCTGGGAGCATATCCCAGATTAACACTGGCAGAGAAAGAAGGATGATGGTGGAATGGCTCGCAAATACTCCTTCCACAAGGGCAAATTGTGCCAACGCTGGAAATTGCTTAATCCATTTGTGCCAAGCCTCCACATCTACTAGTTGGTTTTCTTCTAATGCAATGGATATGAGCACGTGTGGTACGGCTAACTTTCCCTCCGGTGTCAGTCCATGCAAATTCTCTGGAGAGTAAATGTCTTCCGCAATTCCTGGAGACAAGGTACCAGCCCAGCTATTGCCTGGCGTTGTGCGTCTGCATATCTCAATGCTTAGGGATTTGGGATCCTCGGAAGCGAGTATGTAAATGGGGGTCTTCTTATTTTCTTGTTTGTGTGGATCGCCATGTTGACTTTCCTTGAGCTTTTCGTGTTTAAGGACAGAAAGAATCTCACTATGAAGCATAGCCGCCGAAAACGAAGGCCGGTGCATCCAGTCATCCAAGACGTGAAGAAGGGCATTAGTGAATGAATGGCGACCTGGACCTGGCGCCCATGTTTCAAAATCACTGGCAGCAATCGTTTCGATGACACCGGGTCCATCTGACGGCGCTGCACCTGGAGCAGAACAACAATCCAACAGGTAAAGCACATCCGACTTTGACTCTTCGAAAACACTTTGAATGGCGGACCAGCGCACAGAAGCATGGGAAATGTCTTGAGTACAAGACCAGGTAGTTTGTCGAGAATTGTTAATGACCGCATGACCTCCATAGTAAATGATGATAAGATTGTCATCCGTCCCATGCTTTTCTATATAATTTACTGCCTGTTGCATGTCAGGGTGATGTTAAGCGGTAGTGAAAGAAGGTAGCTTGCCTGCAACATAAGTTTGTTATGTGAATGTGTCGACGGGATCGTCCAAGTATCGGTAGTGAAGCCATAACATATCTCGAACATAGAACGCAAAGCATTGAACTCTGGTTGAGCATCGATATCACTCTCCTCCCACTTTATCAAGACAACTAAAACTTCGGCATAACGTGACCGGCCACGATTGGGGAAAGCCCTCGCAGCAGCCTTCATTGGATTTTAGCATTTTGCGTATAGAGTAGATGAGATATGAAAAGTTATTGGTGTACGAGTACAGAAGTGACCAGGACATGAACGGAAAGGACCTGCGTAACAAACAAAAAGGAAACATGATGGTCCGTGATACGAATTCTTATAGATGGGATTTTTTTTTACCTCTTCGACCCTCACTGCAAAAGTCTCGAGCTCTTTCATGTGATACCTTGCGCGCGAGATATCATGCGTGTTTGTGGAGATTGATGATGGCGGTGAACTAATGTAATGATATTTAAGCTGTACAGGAACAATTAGATCAAGTCAAAATGTATAAAAACAAATTGATGATATAAGAGTGAAGCCTCACCTCGTCACTCAATAACTCTGGAGTGTTGGGTGTTTGCGTATCCTGGGCTGAATCTGACATCTGGTCCATAATGTTGCGAGGGCGTGACTGAGGTGCATCAAGCACATGTACCCCTGTGAAGATATTGTATTATCACTTTGTATGGATTCTGTAACAAAAGACAGTGAGTGGATTTAAAGACTGGATGAAATCTAAATTGCAAACTCTAGAGCTGCATTCATTAGGTAGGCAGTTACACGTACAAAGTATGATGGATTACGGAAATGCATGCCGTGAAAGGCGAAAGAAAAGAAAGAATATGAATGATAGGTTGGATCAAGAAAAGGGCAAGCTAAAGGCAGAGACCAGAAGATTTGGGGACAAATCGCATACAACACATGCAGAAAAAACATTCCCCTGTCAGAAGTTGACATGTCAACAGGGTTCATCATGAGCATCAACCAACAAAGCAAATTGAATTGGAACAAGTCGAGCAAGGTGAGTAAGGTGAGCAAGGTGAGCAAGGTGAGCAAGTCCATGACTGGCATGACTGGGGAATAATACGGTTCGTGCTTGAACGCCCATCGCCTCTTTTGATCAGATTGTTATACAAATGAACGTAGGGGTTGAATGGAGTGGATATGGATGAATCTTCATAAGTGGGTAGAAGTCATTTTTTTCGTGTGAAGGTCGAGGGGGGGGGGGAGGGGGGGAGGGGGAAGGGAAGTGCTCGGGGGGGTGGTATGAGAGGGCCAGAATGCGGCCACCAGTCCTTTCATTTTGATAAGATCGGGTATAGTGATAAATGGTATGGAGTGCTGCTTTCCAAGGTTGTTACTTTGTAGGTATTCTTTTGATTCAAAGTTGGGCGAAAGGGTTCTTCACCGTTCCCTTTCGAGAATCCGGATGAACCAATTATGAAAAAGTGTTATCAAGGCGGTGAAGGGTGGTGTGGCACTTAGTATGGATGTGTGGCTTGTGTGGTGTGCGTTGTGTGCGTGTGTGCGTGTGTATATATGGACGTATATGTACGTGTATGCTTAGCTAGGTATGGATTATAATAATAAGTTGATATCTCTTATTTCACAGATGATGGACGACAGACGACAGATGATAGACGATACATTCCCGATTAGAAGCCAGTGGAAACCTCTTTGGAGTCTTCTGAAGGTCTGAGTCTTCGCTTTCCCCACTGATGCTGATAAGAGTGGAAAAGATTTCAATAGGATTTCAATCCGATTTTCATAAAAAGGGCCAACTCCCCACAGACGGACATCTATCATCATGGATTATTGCTGCTGCTGCGTACCCAGTACCAATAATAGGACTCCATCTAATTAAGCTTCCCGTCGGCATAAGAGATAATCTTAATACACTCACTGTATGTCTATACGGAATACATCTGTCGACCTTGATATCCATGGTAGATACATGATATAATGGTGAATAATAATCAGTGTTGTGCATACTGTACATTGCCATACAGAGCAATGGTACTGCATACTTATCCCTCTGTATTGTATGGAGTGAGCAAGGTTGTATGGTATATGGAGGAGTACGAGTACAGAGCCAAAAGATAAATGGTTTCTATGATCCGAGATGATAATCGGAAATTATGGAGGAAAGGATGCCCCAGCCATTTATTTTCTTTTCTTTCTCGTTCCAATCATCTTTGCTTTTGCTCTGCGGTCTTGCTGTCGGGGCTCTGCTGTCTAGACTCCTCCGCTGTCTGTCAGCTCGGGCTAGAAGTTGGGTTCAATAGGTTGAGGATGGAAACGGTGCGAGACATGATACTTGATGCCCGTCAAATGGTAGGGCTATGTCTGAATTGTGTTTTTGACAAGTTTGAAACCTTAGGTATTGATGTTGATTGTAAGGCTCAAAACAACTACTTAGGTAGCTATTTGCGGAAACTGTCAGTCAAGGAAACTGCTGTGCAAAGTATTGGAATTCTCCTGTGCAAGTACTAGACATCTGTCTGCAAGCTCAAACAGAGGATATACCGAGAAAGAGTATCATCTATCTTCCGTAGACAAAGATACCTTATCATAATCACCGTCACATATACTACCGGACCTACTGTACTCACTCAGATATGTTCTCTTAATTCCTGGATATCACATAGAGCAGGTAGGCCAAGCAACATTAATACAAAAACTAGCTTCATAGATACAAGAAGATCGGAAAACTCATATCTACGGAACCAGAGCCTTACTTCAACCTTTGGGCGATCATTTCAATCTATTTTTGAATGCTTCATCTGATTGATGCTTTCCCCCTCAAACCTTACATCTTTGCCGGTAGAAAGCTAGGCGTGCTGCATGCCGTCTAATAATAATGATAGATGACATTGGCTGCTATTATCCTTCTGGCCTTCTTGCCGCCAATTATTGGGACAGTTCAATACACCACAGAAACGCATACACACATACATAGGCCATCCTCGGTAAACTGGGAGTTCCTTACATTCGATTAAAGTCGCATGACATGACGAGACGATGACCCTACAAAAACTCATCACCATATACATACATACCTAGGTATTATTACATTCGACATATATTCGACATTGAATAGAATACAATTATCAATTCAATTCATCAATTAATTCATCAATTTATTAATCAATCAATTAATCAATCAATCATTCATTCATTCATTCATTCAACCATATATGGCATGATAATTAATTATTAATTCAATCATTCATACATTCAATCACTCAATTCAAATCATCTTTTCCTTTCCAATCCAACATTCCCCACGGACGTCGACCAAATTCAAAACTTCAATCTCACCTATCAACCATCACCATCATAACTCTGACAGTCTGACTATCTGCCAACGTATGAACGTGTGATCGATCCCAGTCATCGATCCACTACCTTCCTCCCCCTCCAACCCATTTCGACATAGCTTCTGAAAGTCTCATGCCTTACACGCTCTTTTGATTCTGTCCGTACTTGATCTCCTCCACTCACTTGCTTAAACCTTACTCTTGCCTGGTTTGATGTCATAGCAACCGTTTACCAACTACTACTTTCATTCATAAATTCCGTTGCAGCCTTAGTCCTCACCGCCGTTCATTCGCCCAATTTGTTCCATTTCGCCTTTGGCTCCACATGCGCCGCCAACAAATCAAGTTTTAAGCGCCGTCTGCTAGATCTCAATAATAAAGATCGTGTTAGCAATGCCTCACTAAGACCGCGATAACGATCCTGAGGTCGAAAACGAGCAAACCTCATCGGAGAAGCTGCGTCACCGATCATCCAAAAGTGATAAGGATCCAAATCGAAAGCACAAATCAAGACCAAAGGCCATAGATCCTGACACGGGAGAGCCTGTCAAGTCATCTCATCGTCGAAAGAGGGATAAAACGAAAGACGAGAAAAGTGAAGGCATGTCGGAGGTGACAACGACTACCATGGCGGATGTTGTTCCTGAGCTCTCGAGGACTTCCTCTACGCCAGGCACATCATCCTACCCAACTTTCAATAAAAATTACAGTAAAGAGGCTGTAAATAGCTATGTGTCAGAGAGACCTGCAAAATCGAAGACTGGACCTTACACGCCAGAAGCAACAGATATCGATTCTGAGAAGAATAAATCCAGATCTGCAGAGAACTTAAGACGAGCAGCTTCTGCAAAAGGCAGACCACCCAGCCCACCAGATACTGAATTTACACACCGACAGAAATCTACATCTTCAAGAATGAGCAAGGTCAGGGAGGAGGGTTCTGAAATGTCCTCAAGGCCCAGTTCCCGAAGTTCAGAACATCGGAAGTCGTCGAGAAAGGAGAAAGAAGACCGGTCCTCCACATCTTCAAAATCTAGGCCATCAAAGACTGGTACACCACCCATACGGACTTCAAGTTCCCGGACCTCAAAGTCTGAAAGGTATGACGAGGACGATGACTCCAATGTCACATCCGTGGCAGGCAAAAGACAGTCGCAACCTACATCTCGCCGAAGGCCTACCAATATTGATACGGATTCCTCCCCGGCTTCGGCACAGGATTCTTCGCCAAAAACTCCCACTCAGACTCCTCAATTTCCTCCTCCAGGAGCGGCTGATATAAAATCTACTCCATCTCCTTATATGCATTTTGATGCATCCTCTGTTAAATCTAGTGTGTATGGCTCTCCACGTCCTCCACCACCACCCCCTCCCCCAAATTTACCATTAAACATCCCTAGCGTTGATTACCTCCTCCAAAATGGCGGACTAGTCCGCCCGGTTCCCAAGACCTTACTTTCTACCTCCTCCCAATCGCTCAATTCATCAAGGTCCTCTCCTCCGGCGGAAATCCAAAAGATATTCGGGCCATACTTCAACATCCTGGACCAATACGAAACAGTCATCAATAAGAGTGGATCACTCGCAGTTGCTACTGGATATCGCTCCGTTGCAAGGAGATTGCTCGACCGCTTGGAAAATGTTTTTGCTAGAGATTTATCATCTGATGGTTGCTTGTGCGTTATGTGCCAGGATTTAGATCTTGATTCTCACGAGGGAAGTAAGGGTCTCTCGTGGGAGAGGTTTTTGGAATGGGTTAGTGGTCGACGTGATCTTCCCGAATGGCCTGCCTTTGATTTCTCAGCACTCGGTGCGAAATCAGTCGATGATTTAGCTGGTCTTGGTATATCAGGTCATCACAGACCTGGATCACCTATTAAGATCGATCCTGATGTAGCGGACGAGTTTCGGGAACATTATCTACGACAATCCATAAAAACAAAAGCATCGGTGGACAAATGGCTATCAAGTTGCCCCGAAACAACATCTGCACCTCCTCAAGAGGTTGATGATGAAACTCTTTCATTTGCTATACTAACTCATCTCAACCACCATGACCGACCTCTCTTCAACGCTTTGCTTAGTGGCTCCACTACATTACAACCCGTTTCACGAGCACCTACTCCATTACGAAAACCACGCTCGGATTTCATGATTAAAACAGTACAATCTATGCAACGACTGTATCGATTGCCACTTCCTCCACGAGATCCAGAAGTCGCCATATATCTACTGAAGAATCCTCATATTCACAATCTTCTCGCAACAATTTCTGGCATTGCACCATCAGAATGGGAGATTTTGATATCCGGCCGATTTGATGGATTCTTATGGTCTGGAGCTGATAACGAAGTCATTGATGAATTCCCTTCTCGCGGACCCACGCCAAATGGTTACCGAGGACCATCACCAGTCATGAGAGGCCCTTCTCGTAACAACACACCATTTTCACCTCGGTCAGCTAGTTATGGTTCTCGTGGTCCGACTCCATCTCAACAATACAGGCATCCAGTCTCTAACGATGAGGAGGCTGAAATTGCTGTCTTGGCTGAAATAGAGCGTGAAATATATGTAGGAATGGAGGCACTTGAGGATGCATTCGAAGGTTTACACCGAAAGGCTGAGGCTGTTCGTAAAGCTCTTCGCGAACGTGGTGTCGGATTGACTATGGCAGCAGAGTCAAGACGAACAAGTCGTCCAGAAATCATTGTTGGTACTCCTGGTCCTTACTCGGCAGGTTTGGGACCAGGATACGAGAGACCAAGTTGGGCCGAAGGTGGCAGCGAGTTTATGAGTGAAGCTGATTGGGATGAAGATGAAATGCAAAGTGAATTGGCACCAGATGATTCAGCAAGTAACATCAGCAGTTCAAGACACAGACGACCAAAACGAAGAAATGAAAGAAGAACACCGGCATTGGTTGAAGAAGATGAAGATGAGGGTTGAAAACCCATGACATCTTTTCAATCATGAATGCAATATTATGGAAGATATGAAAATGATAGGACAGTATGAGATTATGAGGAAACGCCTCCTACAGAGATGGATGAAATGAGATTACGATTTGTTTACGAAATGATATCCTACCTACTGCGAAAGTATAGTGCCAGCATGAAAAAAGTACGAAATAGGAATACGAGGGAGATTTTTGGCAAGCTATGAAAGCAAAAGCAGTTCTACACCTGGAAAGGATATGAACTTTTTTGATGGGGTATTTTGTGTTTTATATAAGCAGGGAGGTAGTTTGCAATGTGCAGGTTCCATTTGCATACCATGTGGGACTTGAGATTGAGATACGGTGATGTGAGGAGGTATAGAATAGCATAGCAATGATATCATAACATTCCCTCGCAATATTGGCACAAAATGAATGCTTCGTTTTTCATTTGAGTAAAAAAAAAAACAAAGAGTAATTCCCATTCGCTGAGCTTATCTCCCCCCATATCATATCGTGTTGGTAGAATCCTCCCGCGCGTAATCATGCGACTAGGAGAATACCTATTCCCACGGGTCTGTCCACGGGTTTATGAGTTGTTGAGTTGTTGAAGAAACGCATAGACCTGATGTAATGAAAAAGGTTAATTTAATTTAATTTACTTCTTACCTAGGTAGCTCGAGGGTAGGTATTTCGACAAAGTCTCGGAGGTGGAGTCATTGCATTATTCGTTTGTTTGTTTGTTTATTTGTTTGTTTGGGGAGGATTCTTGATCGTCCCGCGAGCACGCCTATTTTTTTTGTACTCCTGCTCCTGGATTGAGTTTAAGTTTAAGTTATGAGGGTGGTTGGGTGGTTATTTGACGTATTTTGACGTATTTTGAAGGGTGGCTTGGCGCTTTGTAGATTTCTTTCTTTCTTTCTTTCTAGGTATGGTGAGTGAGTGGGTGAGTGAGTGGGTGGACTGGAATTGGAACTGGAATTGACACGTGATGGAGACGTGATGGAGGGGCGTGGGCGTCGGGTGAGCATGGTCGATGAGTGACGGGTGACGGGTGATGGGTGGGCGAGGCGCTGAGGCTGTTTGGTTGTTTGGATGGATGGGTGGATGGATGGGTGGATGGATGGGTGGATGGATGGGTGGATGGGGGTGCAGGGAGGAGGGAGGAGGTAGGAGAGTTGGTGTACGTAAAGATTGGGTGTTTATCCATCGTTTGGGGATTTGGGATGTGAGGTCTCTTGTACGTGATTTTGAGGAGAGGGGTAGGTGGGTGGGTGGGTGGGTAGGTATCTTGCTGTTGATATGGATTTGGATTTGGGTGTGGTTATGGTTGTGGATATGGTTATGGTTATGGCTATGATGACTCGTGGGGATTTGCTAGTCCTGGGGTTTATTTGGTTGTTTGGTTGTTTGGTTGTTTGAGGCTGGATGGGAATAGATGGATAGATGAAGAGAGGGAGTGCAGGAATACAGAAGATCATCAATCGATCGAGAAAATCTACAGGAAGGGAAGTAGTTGGATGTTGGTTACGGCGCGGCCGAAGATTAGATTTGTGTGGGAAGTTTTCCTTATATCTTGCGAGGTTCTGGGTTTCTTTTCTGGTCTTTTTTTCTGATGGGATATTTTTATTTGACTTTACGTTTTGGTTTTCGCATCTCTTGGTCTTCTTCTCTTTTTGTTCTTACTGTTTCAGACTTGGAAGTTTGAAGTTGGAATTTCGTTGTGTGGCATGCATGTAGAGGTTTGAGTTGAGCTTCTAATTCTCATTACGAACGCGGATACATCATTGCATTCGAAATATCTCCTCTCATGCGTGCGGATTGTCATTCCTGCTCATAAGCTTTTCGTTCCATTCCTCGGGTATCAGTCTCTTTTCGGAGCGTTTTCAAAGACTTCAAGCAGAACGCTTTCTTATCAACTGGAATGCGGATATAGTGGTGAATGGGAATCGTGGAGTTGCTTGATATCATATCTTATACTTTGTTCATTCAGATCTCTTCTCTTTACATTCGTATCTCTATCTCGATTTCAGATTTGTCGGATATAGATAGATGAATAGTGTGGTTGGAAGATTTTGGAGATATATACTCGCTACTCAAGTTTCTTTTTGATACTTAGCCTACGTCTTTATCTCAGATTCTCAGTCTCGTTTTCAAGACATTTTTCAATATGGCTTTACGAGTTGCACAAGGTATGTACTCAATCTCCAATCTCCACAATCCCAAACACGAATTCCAGTCCCCAACATCCTCTTCAAAAGATAATCCATCTAACCCCCGCCCTCCCCAGTCTGCGGCATCTGGTTCTGGCTCGCCTTCGCCTTCTTCCTCTTCGTCATCTTCCACCAATCCAACCTTGTGCTCCCCACCCCCAACCTAGACTCTCCCTCCCAATTCCCCTCATCCATCTCCTCCAAACCCCTCACCATCCAACAACGCATCTCGCGCTCCGAATCCGCCTGGCGCACCTCCGTCTCGCTCCGCCACGAAATGGCCTCCCACCACCCCAAATACCCACACATCCCTCTCTTCCCCGCTCAAAAACTCTCCGACTTTTCCAAAACCCCCTACACCCTCTGGGACTTCTTCCCCGCAACCTGGACCTGTCCGCACGATATCCAGCGCGTAGGCCGTCTCGGGGACGGTGGAAAATGGGTCTGCGGCATGAGTCTCTATGAAAAACATCGCCCTTCTTCATCTTCTTCCGCATCCACCATCTCCTCCTCCCAAACCACAAATCCAGAAGAACACGGCATAACCATCTACAGCTTCGGCGTCAACGACGAATCCACCTTCGAAGCCGAGATGCTCTCTCGCATCCCCAGCGCCCAAATCCACGCCTACGATTTCTCCGTTTCGAAATTCGGGCCCCAGCTCTCCTCCTCCTTCGCCTCGCGCGCACACTTCCACAAATACGGGTTGGGAGCGAAAGATATCCCCTCGCGCACGCCTCCCTTCTACACGCTACACACGCTCATGAAACAGAATAATCATTCGTACATCGACATACTGAAGATTGATATCGAAGGGTCCGAGTACACCGCGCTGGATGCGTTTATGGATTTTCATGATGAGGGGGGGAGTGGGGATGGGACGTTACCCATCGGACAGGTCATGATCGAGTTGCATTTGGTGGATGATGAACATGTACATTTTGAACGCTTTACGAAGTGGTGGGAGCGATTGGAGAAATTCGGTATGAGACCTACGTGGTTCGAGACGAATTTGTTGGCGGTGACGCTGGGTGAGGGGAAGACGGATCCCAGGTGTGTGGAGTATGTGTGGGTTAATGTGAAAGATGAGAGGAGTATTTTGTTGGGGGAGTAAAAGCTTGGATCTAGGGTGTGTAAGAATTTCCTAGAGATCTAGATTTTCTTTTTTTTCTCTTGTGTGGGTATCTGGCCCCGGTTTGGGATTTGGAAGAGACGACTGGATTGGGACTTTTGGTATATATGGGTATGGATAGGGGTCTGGCTGACTGATCAGGACAGCAAGAGGTATGTTTGTAAATGAGATGTATATCATGATATAGAATCTATCTACTTGAAATAGGTCTGCTAAATTGCGTGCCTTGACAACATTAAAGAGTTTCCAAGCCATGATATGTCATCTAAAAATATAAATAGTATATGGAAAACTAAATCCAAGGATCTTTATATGTATATGACACAAACGCAATGGAAGCAACCTTAAAAGTGTTAATTAATACGATATATATATCTCACAATCAACAAACCACCTACCTAACACTTTACAACGATTTCTTCCCCTCACCACCCCTCTCCCTCCTCCTAATCAACCCCTCCAATCTCCTCAACCCAAACATTCCCGGAAGCACCAAATCGAAAAACCAACTGCCAATCCAATTTCTCGCAAACCAAACAATCCACGTTTTGTTTCCCCTCCAAAGCGTTCTCTGTCCCCCATTCACAACCGCATCTACCACACCCTTTGCATACTCCATATTGGGCATCGCGTTTCCACTCTGACTATGCTTTACTCGAGTCTGGAATTCATCTTCGATTTCGAGGTAGAGCGACGAAGGGGGGAGTGTGCGGGGTGTACGCGCGATGTTGGATTGTACGCCACCTGTTACAACGACCATTACGCGCACGGAATAGGGCGCGAGTTCGAGACGGAGAGTGCGGGAATAAGCGTGCAGGGCGGCTTTGGAGGCGTTGTAGACGCTGCCGAAGACGTAGGGGAGGATCTGGTGGTGGGGTGTTAGGATGTTGTTTGAAGCGAAGTGATGGTTCAGACGGGATGGGATGAGAGTATGGGATGAACTTACAGCTGCTAAACTTCCAATATTGACAATGAGTCCCTTTCGTTTAATCAATAGAGGTACAAAAGCCTGGCACATAGCCATGACTCCAAAAACATTCGTCTCAAAACAATGGCGCGCATCGTCCAAATCTACATCCAAAGCAGGTAGCGTACAATTTCTTCCCCTAAACTCTATACATTAGCAGCGCATCCCCAATCGCATCCCCATCATACACCCCTCCACAATCTCTCCCAGAAACATGTTCCTCACTCACGCATTATTAACCAGCACATCCAATCCCCCAATCTCCCCATTCTCAACCCATCCCTCGATTCCCCTCTTGGCTTCCTCAATACTCTTCCCATCCGTAACATCTAGACTCAACGTTCTCATACCCAATTCCGCCAAATCTGTTATTTTAGTCGCCGAGCGAGCGCTGGCAATAACGAGATAGCCGCGAGCATGAAAATCGAGAGCGAGGGAATGTCCGATTCCGCCTGCAGTGCAACTGCGGGTTTGTTAGTCTAGATATATGGTGTGAGGGGGAAACGGAAGATGTACCCTGTGATTAGGACTGTTTTCTGGGTGGCCATGATGAGGTAAGTTGTGTTAGTGTAGCAGGTATATTGAAGAAGCAGTCGCAGTTACGAGTGCACACTGACGGCTAAATGCTAAATACGAAAATGGGAAGGAAGGAATGTGAAGCTAGAGACTGCTCTAGGAAGGGAAAAGCGAGAAGGGTCTCAGGACGCAAGGAAAGATGTCTTTCACAACAGAAGAGAAACGAAAACATTATACCACCTCGAGCCAAGATGAAATTATACTGTGAAGCTTGGACTTATAAATTCCGTTGGAGTTTATTTATCTTGAAGCTTGAAAGTTGTGGTTTGTTGTTGATAAGAAAGATGGGGGATTCACGCTTGGCTTATAGCTTGATAGTTGTGCAGGTACCACCAACTGTAGGTTACATGGAAAACCGAGACACCAAATAGAAGTTTATTGAAAACACGCATTTTTCAAATACTTCTTAATGATATCAATATCCACCCAAATGTCGATGATATAGAGAAATGACATATCAAAGATCTCTACCGTACATATAAATTTATAGTTATTCGGCTTTTAATTCAAAATAGTGATCATTCCATTTGATATCAAATATTGAAAAGACAGAGTATTTTGGGTGTCCCAGTGTCTCCAACTTGCAGCAAAATATTTTTTGTCCTTCCTATAACACCTGAGTGTTGTGATTCTGATAACTCAACGTGTTAATGGAATGTTTGATCATTATAAATGTCCATTATATGGTCTCTAAATACATAAATTGTAATGCCAATATGTCGCTCATAAACCGAGGCCCAAAACGCTCTCGATATGCAGTTGCCATGATATCTATACAACGCCAATAACCATGCAATTCAAACCCCAGACCTGAATGCATCCACCATAACCAAACTAAAAAAAGGTATTTTTCTTCCTAGGACTTTCATCCTCCTTAAGCAAACATTTGCTTTCGAGCCACCTCGCAAATTTCGTAGACGGGACATCAACTGCCCTCCAAAACACATCTGCTGTCCATAATATAATTGGTCCATAAACTAGCAATCCGGCCCCCCAAAAAGCATGTCTACCTATAAAAGAATTCTTTCCAACCGTATTTTCGAACAAAGGTCCAAAACGAGGTTCGAGGATGGTGAGGCAAAGATTGTGTGTCAAATATAGGGCATATGATATATTGCCTAGATATTGAGGAATCGGTAGGTTGAAAAGAGATTGTAAGCTAGTAAGTTGTGTGCATGCAAGTACGATTTGAAAGGCTGCCAGACAGAACCAAACTCTCTGCCCACTATATGGTTCCGGAGTATGCGCGTTGAGGGTTGAGAGGAACGGAATTTCGTCAACATGCTCGTTTGTCCAAGAGGAAATATAAAGACCACATATAACGTTAAAAATCCAGAATACCTTCATGCAAATGCTTTTATTGGTTGCCGTACTGATACTCGAAGTCTCGGATGCTGTATCAATGGATAATTTTCTAGTTTCATCGCCAAATTCGGTGGTAGGAAGGATAGGGGAGGATTCGGCAGAGTTGGATGGCGTCGAATTATATGATTGGAGGAGTGTAACTTCGGCAATGAACATTCCGCCTAGAAATTCAACGGCGTGTAATTGTGCGCTCCAGAAACAGAAAGACATGATGCATGCTAGAATGAGAAGCCGCATATTTATACGAGCATGAGAAAGCCCAAGTATAACAATAAATAGAAGCATCGATTGCGCGAATTCCACAGGGATTGTCCAAAGTGCTGGATTGTAACGTGGCAGAGGCAATGAAGGGTCGTCCCACCTCCAGGATGATTGTAAAAGCTGCCAACAAGTTTCGTACCAATTCCCAATCTGGGCGCTGAGTGACCATAAGGGAAATCCGTATCGAGCTTCGGAAAGCTCATAATATACAGCTATAGACATTATAAGAAGTGTTATGAAGGATGGCAAGAAGAGACGGACTGCGCGGCGGAAGACGGACGACGATAATGTAGATGCAAGTGCCGAGTATTGTTGAGAGTGTATTTGCTTAAGAGGTTTGTAGGTGAGGACGAATCCAGAAATGATGAAGAATATATGTACCATTGGTCTGGCAGAATATAGTACTCGAACAAATGGGAGTTGTATCGGCGATGACGGGGCACCATCTTCATAAAGTCCATATGGCTCAGTCCACCATCCAATATTCTCCTCAGTGTAATGCCCCATGAATACGATAAAAGAAGCCACTCCGCGGAGGCCATCGAGATATGAAGTGGGATGCAACTTTTGCGTCTTTGGCGAACTAGGTCGTATCGTTCTTCTCTGTAAGAAACTAGGTATACATCCATATGCGAGCTTTTGAAGTAGGCGTTTCCCTGAACTCAAGACGACCGTGTAGTCAGAATTCTTCTGCGAATCTGGTTCCATTATTGCCCATAGCATTTGGGGTTTGTACCCCTTGGCTACCATCATGAGGAACAGAGTTCAGTACCGACAATACCTGATTGTGCCGTACTGTTAAGAGTCGTGATAGTTTCTATGAATAGAAAGATGTTTGACTCTCTCACAAAGATCGAACGGTTCTGTGTGCAGTCTAGTATTTCTGCAATGCCATGTAAATATGTTAAAGAAACTCAGCTGGGATATCTAATCAAAACCAAAGATCTCGCAATGAAAGTAAGAAAGCTTTGGGTAAGGGAAAGACATGAAGGAAATATTCACTCGGCAAGAGCATCTACTCATTCCTCAAACCATACAGCCCTCAAGCATTTGACTCGGTCCACAGTCATAAACAGAGAACAAGCCTCTTTCGGATGGATCGACTAATTTGCGGGGGCGTCGCTGGTGAATTTAAAGTTATATTTTTACTCTCAAGCTCCGATTTGTCTTGAATTGAGGCCCCGACTTTTACCCCTTTGGCCTTAGTTCCATGGTATGACATTTCCTACTCGTTGCCATTCACTGTTTGCAACAAGAGTGATGCTTGAAGTGATTTGCTTGTTGATCCTGAATGGGATGATATTTCCGTACCCGACATAGCACGTCGATCAGTCACGCTTGTGGTTTGTCGATGAAACGATCATTTTGTTTCGACTTTATTTCCCAGGAAATATCCTCAAGTAAATGCTTGATCGGTTCAATCCTTGTGTTGCATTTTTCATCTCTAACAAGTCTGCAGAGCCAATGCTACAGTTTCTGCTTGAGACGCATCATGCAACTTTGAAATCCTCCTCCTGTTACGTTGAAGAGCGCGGCTCGAGTAGCTGCTGCAACTTGCCAGTAGTTGCAACTTGGAGTAAAAAGTGGCAAGATACGGTGGGATATCTCCGCCAATAGAACCATCAAGGACATCTGTAAATTGAGCTGCTACTGGTGATTAGACTGTTCAGCTGAGCGGGTGGTGGAAGCGGGAATGCTCTCCGACCAAAAAGTGTCTAAGTCAGGAGAACCTTGTTTGATGGATGGATCATAGCCCATGGGAATTCCATGATGGAATGAATTGGTGGAGCACGGGAAAGACCCTGACTAAAGTTGGAGGTTTCAGACCACAATCTGGGATTCTTGGGTTCTAGAACCAGTCGAGTTGATAAAAGATTGGATATACAATATAAATAAATTCCAAGGTTGGATTCTTCTAATATCAAACTGTAGAGGTAGAGGATAGGATCCAAGAGGAACTGGAAGGAAGGGGAGACATCAAGTTTCCCATCGTCAGTGTCGCAGACTTGCAGTGTCACTTCTGAGATCTATGATGTGGTTGAACATCGAAGAAAGTGATCTAGGTTTTATTTGTTTAACATAGACATGGCGGCATGAGTTGTGATTTGTCAAGTATTATATCAATCCTTTTTTTTTGTTACTGATCATCTACCAAAGCTTCATTACCGGCTTGGCATCTTTTATCCAGTTGTATCACGATATCGTTATCGAGAACTCAACTCTGTTCTGTACAAGACAAGGTAAAGATCTCGCAGGACCTTCAATTTTCATACTTATTATAGTATGCTCGTATTCACATTGCTCACATTGCTCAATTTACTCAACTTCTTGTGTACCACCGGTATCCAAATGATTACATCCATCCGATCATTATTTACCCAAATCAACTCATGTTTACAACAAAGTATACATGCTGTTTATCATTATCAGCCTCGTAAACAGATGACGAACCCCCTAATATATTTCCATCCACAATCCACAAATCCCTGGCAAGGTGTGGTCATACTTCGACAATGCAATTATATTTGATAATGAATATCATCATCACCTCGAAATTTCATCCTGCGGAGTGGATTGGAGATGTACACAATCCGGCTGGCTCAACGTGCTTCTGCTTGCAAGTCTTCAGTCTACCTGACCCGAAACATCACAGTCGCACCCTACAATCCGTGCCGTCGACTCTGCAGACCACGTCGAACATGTGGCGTACAATTGATTCGGCTTGAGTGTCCCATGTTTGCGCTACGAGAATTTCATAGCTCTTCTGGTCAAATGTCAAGCTATTGCTGAGCCAGCTGAGGTAGTTTGGCAACGACCGGTCTCAGTCTCATAATGAGATTTTCACTGGGAACTTTGATGCCAAATGTGCCATCATCGTGCCAACTAGAGTCTGGGTTGCTTTAATGAACGATCAAAGCTGAGGAAGCTTGCACGTGATGTATACAACGTATCAAACGAGGGTCGGTGCGAAGAGTGATATTGGGTATGTTTCCCTATTCTTCATACTAGTTGTGTCTGGGCTAATGAGATGAGCGAACAGAGACTGTATCGATTTACCGGCTGATTCGTAAATATAATTATCTCCAGCGTTCGCTCAACGGTTAAGAACACTCATACAAACAACATAAAAGACGAAAATGGTGGTATGGTGGACAAAGTTACACCGCTGAATGGGACGGGGAAAATGAGATATGGCGCAGATACATATCGAAAAGGCATTTCTTCCATCATCTACCTCCATCTTAGGATAAAATCAGCAAGGAGCCAATGACGCACATAATCGGGCTCTTCCGCGGATCAGCATCTACATATAATATCATGATAAGAAGGCGTGGACGAAGCACAATTTATGATTGCACGATGATATATTCTAGTACACCTCACAGTTGATGCACATGCACTCTCGCTGGAATCATCTATAATATCCAGCCTTTTCCCTGACGGGTTTCTCACTCAGTGATTAAGCCGTCTAAACTCATGCCCAGGTCGTTGAAGTGTCTATCTTGTCAATCTTGGTCGTGCAAGAAGAAAATTGGACATCCAACTTCGAACGAATTGAGAGACTACCGTATTGCAAGTATGAATCATCTTCAGACTCATGTGAAGGATGTAAAAACTGGGGGCGGGAAAGACCACGATTCCCGTTCTCCGATTTGCGCTCTTTAGCTCTTTCTCGCGCCTTCTACGGTTCAGCCGGCTTGTTGGGGCGACGTCCACCATGAACCAACTCCAGGCACGTTGCAGCTTGTTGGCAACAACTAATCGCCAGATATCGGCCTCTGATCTCCTAGTTTTTGTCTGCTTCTTTCTTGTTTTCTAAGCAAGATTCCTGGCACTCTGTTGATGCTTACCCTGATAATTATGTAAAACCTGGATCAGTAAAGCAGGCGCCCTCCACTTTCCAAACCTTCGGGAATCGATACTCCTGCTCCTTTGACTGTATCGAGACTCGCGTCTATTTTCTGTTTCACTGTGCGGAAACAACTGCCTGCGATTGACTTTATTATTCTCCTCCCACTAAACATTTCAGTCGGGGAGAGTGCGATACGTAGGCTACCAAAGGCTCGAGCAATGGCCTAATTGCTAGAGCCAAGCTCGGTGTGATTCTACGCAGAACATGCTTGGCTATGAAATTGCCTCTGTAAATACGACTACGATGAGCAGGCAAGTCTCATACTTGCACGCGACTGCCTTTGCGCTGAAATCTAACGAAGGGGGCGCTCAAACGCGAAAGTCAGTTGCGATTTCTACATATTTTTTGTAGATAAGCTTTGCTCTTGCAACCCGACATTTGACTGGCAAGTCTTGCAAAATTCACGGTGGTGGCAAAACATAGGATCATATGATCAGAATTCGAAAGCTAGAAATGCTATTTTATCCAAGGTAAATTATTTATCATTATCTAGCAAATTGCAAAACGCCTTGAATCAATCCTCGCCACACTACGTGTATTCACATGTCAATCTCACTCCTGAGCATTCCCAGCTTTATCCCAACGTTAACCGATAGATCTTTAATGCTAAGATCTGGAGCAAGCAAAATAGGAAACGGGACTTCATAACCAAATTCTTTGAAAAGCCAATTTCTAAACTCGGCTCCAATCATACTATCCAAGCCAAACGACGCCACAGACGTCCCTTCCAAAGGCATATCTTCGATAGAGATGGCGAGGATATTTGATAACTTCTTCGCGACCTGGGCTGATATGATGTTGATAACATGCTCAGGTCCTGCAGTAATGGCGGCTTGCATTTGCTCAATCGTATTGCCGGATGAGGACTTTGTCCCGCTATTGCCTCCTGACCCCACAACTTCACGAATTTCGGCACGAAGATGTCGAAACCTTGGGTTTTCAAACCAAAAAACATCAGTTGTATGGATCGAAGATAATGCACTTGCAACAGTCGAAGGGTCAAGGCCCAATACAATTTGTGAATCTTGGAGAATTGCGTTGCCTGCCGATGGCTGGTCCTTTATCGCTGTTTCAAATCCACAGATCATCTCGTCTTCATTGATTCCGAAAATTCCTCTTCGACTTAGTAATACTTCAATCTCTTGGTGTTCACTAACATAACCCACATCAAGAATCGCTGGAAGCACGACTGATACAGCGGGAAGGCCTTGCACATTTCGGCCCCACGCAAGAGAGTCCAAGTAGCAATTCCCAGCGCTATAGTTGCTCTGCCCAGGATTTCCAAGTGTAGCGGATATCGAACTCAGCATGAGAAAAAAGTCGAGACAGTGGCCAATGAGACCTCTATGGAGATTTTCTGCCACCTTTACCTTGGGATCTATGGTACCTTTGAATTGATCGTAGCTCATTTTCTCAAAAAGCGAGTCCTGTAATTTTAGTCAACTATTGATTCATCACAGAATGTGAGGGTCCCTACATTCAAAACCATAGCTGCATGCACAACCCCACGGATAGGACGTTCAGAGCTCTCCTGGGCAATTACACTCGAAAGGTCCTTTTCATTTGCAGCGTCTGCTCGATAGACGTTAACCGAAGCGCCTTCTTTCCTCAAAGATTTGACTAGTTGCGCTGCCTCCAACTTGTCAAGCCCAGAACGAGAAACAAAAGCGAAGTGCCTGACGCCTCTTCTCATCATCCAAATCGTTAGACTACGGCCAAGCCCGCCAAGGCACCCAACCAAGATGTAGCTTGCACTCGAGTTGAATCTGAGTTTAGTTGAGTTTTGTACCTATAGCCGCAGTTAGATCTACTATTGAGATCACACGAGATTTTAGCATACCTCGATGAAATCTTCCCCGTATCCGTACGTGATGGTAGCCTCTTCAATGCTTGTTAAGTTCGTGGAAGCCATTCCTGCATTTGAGAGTTCCTGAATGCTATATTTCTTGGTTCGCTGATGGAGAATATCACTGTGGTTCTTCAAATGGTCAATGGCTCCAGTCAGGATAGATCCAATCGAAGTTTTATCCTGCTTGTACAGCATGTCAATACTCGTAGACAGGAATGTCGCACCTCTGGTAAATGGTAAAGCGTCAGGCGGTTCCAAAATGGTGCCGCTAGAAAGGACAAATATCGTTCCCGGTGGAACGTGGCGCCATATTTCCTGACTTAGTGAAGAGAATTCATGCGATATGATAGAGGCTAACCGCTTCTTGCTAATCAGCCTCTTGAGGGCCAAAGGTACATCCGTTGTTGAACTTCTGATCAATTCAGCTTCCGAAATTCCTAATTCGAGACATTTTTTTTCATCTTCTACGCTTCCAACAATTAGAGTATAAGTGTAGCCGATAGCTTTACTGATACTGGTAAAAGCCTTGACAAAGCTAGCTGGTGCCGGGAGTAACAATATATGATGGTCTTTCTGTGCTTGGGCTGAGTTGACGACGGCATTCCAAACATGGCACAAACTAGGCAAGATAGCTACGATGTCATCCGCGCACATGTTGACAGGTTGAGTATCAAGGTAAGTTACGCGCACTAAAGTTGAGAACGCTTTGTGGGTATAGGTCACGATATTTTGGCCTAAAAGCGAGTTGTTGAGGCCCTTTCCGGTAGCGACGATTTTCCCTGCAATTAGTCGTGCCCTTTGACTCTGGAATTGAACATCAGCTGAATTTACTTCTGAAGCAAATACTTGCATTTCGACTTCGTTATCTGCTAGCTCATCCCGTTCCGATAGGTTCTCTTCATTGAAGAACAGTTTTCCATCCACTACTGAGCCTTGGAGTGTTCTCCCGGTAGTCAACAACGTTCTTGTAGTTTCGAAGGATTTAGCCAAAATATTGTTCAGACGATGATGTGGAACTAAGCGGCTGATATGGATGCTTCCATTTTGGAGCCAGAATTCCGTCTCTTCATCTGCAGATCCGCTTTCTCTCTTAGGTATTGTCGAGACGATAGCGCTCATGATGCTAGTAGGGTGTTCTCCGAGGTCAACATCTAGAATCGTGATTTTCGTGCTGGCTCGCTCTGCCAGAATTGCCCGAATTAAACCTACAGCCAACGAGCCCCCGATAAGTTTCCCTTCATTGACTCCGGCTGTCAACCATAAAATTGGGATGCCTGAGCACAACAATTTCTTCAAGGATTCAAATGAACTTTTGTCCAATGACGAGAGGAAATTGCCGTCGATGTCATCAACAATTAGATTGCTATCTCCGATAACATCAAAGTTGCCAAGTTCTTTGCATTCGACGTGCCATTGGTGCTCAAGAAATTTCTCTGTTGTTTTCATCATTAAAGTTGATTGTCCTTTGAGTGAAAGTACAGTAGCTTTGTTTTTGTGCATGACTCCTCCATTCATGCGAAATTTCTGGTCTCCAGGACATGAAAGAATCACGGCACTGTCAAATGGACCGAATCGAAGGTTGCGGGATTCGTGATCGTGAACGCAAAGCGCCTTTTCCAAGGAAATGCCGAAGGGGATACTTGTGTGAAAAATGGCATACCCTTTGTCATTTCTGATCGATTTTGCCAGCAAAATTACATCGTTCGCTGCTTCGTCTGATAGTTCTTTGCTAACCACAACTAGATCTTGTGATGTTGGAATAGATGGAGTAGATCCCAGAAGAGTAACATTTGGTACAAATATAGAGGCTACTCTGTTATCGATTGAGGATAGTCTTTTTAACTCCCCGTCTTGATCCGGATCAATACTGCAGATTGTACAGGATGCAGTTGAAGATAAAATTTCGAGCAAAGTCTTGACAAACAACACAGTGTATTGGCCAAGTAATAGGACACGTTCTAGTGGACTTTTGTGGTTTGCTAAATCGACGATTTTAGTGATTAATTCTAAGCCTGTGGCGGCAGTAGTGGTTATGGGCGTATCTTTGGAAGTGGGACGAAGATCTTCAGGCACAAGATGGGCAATATCAGGTTCCAGACGACTCCCATGTATGGTTTTGGTCCGACTTTTTCTATCTCGGCTTGTGGTGGTGCCGCAGCTTCGTAAGTAACTGTTCTGAGATCTCTTATGTCGAGGATGATTTTGCCAGACTTGCCTTTGAGCTGAGCACTATTGTTGGCATAACGACCGAAAGTTTCAGACCACGCAACAGCCTTTCCTCTCGATTCAATGTCGGTTTCGGGGAACCACAGGGAGATTTCTTCTATCTTGATAGGGACGCAACCAAACTGCATGTTTTTATAAAGCCCTTCGTTGAGAGAAATAATCATGAGCTGTAGACATTGCATCAATAGAGGAGGGTGTGTAAAATATATCTCGACTCTCCTGTCATTAACCCACTCTTAGTGGTCAAATCGACGTCGGCGGTAGCTTCCTTGATACCTTTCGCAGCAATAATATTATGCAGTCCCTGGAAACTTGGGCCATAGTTGAATCCTACTCTAGAGAAAGAGGAATACCATCTTTTACTTGATGTTGACTGTGTCATCTTGTTGTGAGATGTTGGTGGCTCATTGAAAGAGGTGTCTGCCCTGGGTGTAGGATTGGCAGCAATCATGCCTTCCGAATGAGTTTGCCATCTACCGTCTGCGAAAGATTCAACCACGAAACCGTACCAGATAGCTTCTATTTCTTTGCTACTTTTAGTTACTGGCTGTAGACGTAGTTGTACCTCCAGTCCATCGTCTGTGTCTGGGATCACCATCGCAAGTTTGAAGGATGTATCCCTAAAACGTACCCCTTGATACCGTATGTTTAGCATTGTGGAGTCTAGGACTTGCCTGAGCGCTTCAACTGCCATTGACAAGTGGCCTGCAGCTGGAAATACAACAGATCCGCCAAGATTGTGATCAAAAAGCCATGGAATATCTTTGAGACGAAGCTTGTTTTGCCAGACCAGTCCTGATAACCCTACTATCCGACTTCCAAGCAAATCATGCCTAAGAAAACTCTTGCAACGTTGCGCTCTACTCATGCTTGACTCAGCCCAATATGTTTTCTTGTAGTTCCATTGGTATGGAGGTAAATCAACGAGGAATTGAGGAGTGAGCTGGCCGCATTTGCATTTCAACACAATTAACAAAGTTTATATTGATTGGTGCACCAAGTAAAAACAGCTCTCCTGCCAATTTCAAAAGTTGAATGGAATCATCGGTCTTTCGAACGAGTGTTGGAATGTAGTTGAAGCGCTCGATACCCAGATATTGTAGTATTTGCTTAAAGGGTCCAGAGAGAGCTGCATGCGGGCCCAACCTCAATGGCACACGTGACTTTTCTGGACCGGTAGTCTCGAGTACCGCACTTACTGCCTGTTCAAACTTGACTTTGCCCCTCAAATTTTCACACCAATACTTAATTGAGAGTGTGTCTTCGAGAATTTCTCGACCTGTCACCGATGAGATCATCCTTGCTCGAGGTAATCTCTTATTAGACGTATGATTTTCCAGCCTTGTAGTAGCCAAATTATATAGCTTCTCATATTCTGGGGCAACAGCATCCATATATGGTGAGTGGTATGCCTTTCCAGTGTCAAGCTCTCTAGCAAAGATTTTTTCGGCATCGAGTTGGTTCTTCACTTCTTGAATACCTGAAACGGAACCACTGAGGGTAGTGCTTCTCGATGAATTAATACAAGCGATGACAACATCACTAGTATCTTGGATATATTTATTGACATGCTCGGCTCCAAGTCCCGACCGCCAGCATAGTACCACATACTGCACTGCGCTTGACAGTATATCCTCGATAGAACGCTGAAATTATCGCATCACCAGCTGAAATTAAACCCGCTGCATATGCTGCCGCGATTCACCAGAGGAGTGTCCTACAGTGACGGTTGGCAGGATTCCCCATTTGGCCATAAGATTCACCAGAGCAATTTGGATACCGGTACATACAGGTTGCGATATTTCTGCATCGTTTAGACGACTAGTTTCTGCTGTATCCAACAAGACATCTTCTATTTTCCAACATGCTGGAGGATCTAGTCTCTGCAAAATGTCGTCTAGTGATCGAATTGTGTTGAGAAATGACGGGAAAGTTTTCATTGCCTGAGAAGCCATACGAGGCCATTGTTGCACCTTGCCCGGTAAAGATAAACATGAATTGGGGTTCAATTGAAGGAGCTGCTCCCAATTTGAAGGAGCCTGATGAAAATTTGTCATCATGTTCCAAATCCGAAGTTATTGTGAAAGCTCTATGATTAAACTTAGATCTTGAATTCAGAGTATGTGCAAGATCTATAATGTAGAAATCATCAACAACTTTTGAATGTGCCTCTATGTTTCTCAAGAGGGTTGTTTTATCGTGGGCTGAGAACGGTACTAATATGGGTCTTGATGTTGACTTATCAACAGGACTTTTCGTTTTCGCTACTCGTGCTGGTAGGAAGGATATAAGGATTGGATGCCCTCAATAATTACGTGGCCATTAGTACCGCCGTAACCAAATGAGTTTACACTTGCTCGTCTGACTGAATGGTTATCGGCCATGGTTTTGTCTCGGCATGAACCTTGATATTCCACTCCTTCTCTTTGACTAGACTGGTCGTTAGATCGAGTATTGCAAATTTCTGAAATTCACTTACTTTCAGGGTTGATTTTTTGGAACCCGCAAACTCCTGGTATGATGCCAGCTTCCGTCATCATTGCGGCTTTCATAATTGAAAAATACTCCACTTGCTGCCTCACTGTGACCTATATTCGGCTTGATCTGCGCCTTTTAGTAGTCATTTAAGGCGAGGGGACAAAAAACTCACTGCTCCTACGAACAAAGGTGCATTCTTGCTTCTTTTGTCATTCATGGCATTTGAAACAGCTTTTGCTTCAATTGGATCTCCTGTAGGGGTTCCTGTCCCGTGCATCTCAAGATATAAAGTTTGCGACGGGTCTAGGTTGGCTTTTTCGTATGCTGCTCGCATGACTCTCTCTTGGCCTTTGACACTTGGATAGGTTATTCCCATTCCCGGAACTTTTCCATTTCTATAGAACTATGTCAGCTTTGATTCTCATAAAATGAATCAAATTTACTTGCGTATTTACGGAAGAGGAACGAATAACCCCTCGGATAGGATCATTGTCTCGGATCGCGTCGGAAAGAAGCTTAAGATACAGCACTCCCGCTCCCTCGGCACGCCCATATCCGTCTGCAGAAGCATCAAATGTGCGACAAGTTGAAGTTGGCGATAACACGCCCAGCTTGGCAGTGTTCATATGCTGATCTACTGTGAGAATAATATTTACTCCTCCAGCGAGAGCGGCAACGCAGTCTCGACTTCTTAACGCATGGCAAGCATTGTGAATTGCGTATATAGACGAAGAACAGGCAGTGTTTATAGTGAAGCTAAAACATTAGAATGTTCTTAAGTGCATAAGCTTGCGATAGGTAGCAAAACTCACCTAGGACCTTGAAGATTGAAAGTATTACCAACGCGGTTACTGATAAGACCCGGATCTACCCCAGTCGCCGAATAACTATGTCGAAAGTCCTGTCTCTCTGAACGATATCTGTTGATAGTCGGCAGTAAAGCTACCAATAAACACGGCAGTGTTAGAGCCAGAGAGTTCCTCAAGAGTTAGACCAGCCGATTCAAAACACTCATAAGCAACTTCCAGTATTTTACGCTGTTGAGGATCCATCCACATGCTTTCTATGGGCGAAATTCCAAAGAAACTGGGATCAAAATTCTCTGCAGCACCGTCTAGAAAATAACCACCGAGGACATTGAAACTGCCTGGCCGCTCAAGGTTTTCGTGGTAGTAAGCATCAATGTCAAATCGACTCTTTGGAACCCTAGCTGCTTGTGCAGACCTTCTATGGACCAGCATGTCCCATAGTGATGAGGCTGAATCGACTTCGCCAGGAAGTCGGCATGCTATTGACTGTAAGTAGGTAATCTTTTGAGAAATTTTTGAAACTTACCCATTCCCACGATCGCAATTGGTTCCATGGCGGCAATTTCCGCGTCTTTACACTCAAGAGGCATACTGAAAATATTGATATGAAACGATAAGTGTGACTAGAGTCTCACAACATGATCTTCACAAGTAAGGAGGGGTAAAGCTTTAAGTTGGAAAGGAGATCAATTCAGCTCGGATCTAGTTTATCCGAGTCTGCTTGAAATTCAAGTAGACTTGAATTATGCTTATATTCTTTTCTCATGTTATCTATTATCTTATTGAACTGATGCGCTGCATCTGACCGGCGCTTTTGAGTGTTGCATTTCTACTAAGCAACTGAGGTAAGAACTTGTCCAAAACGATACGGTGTCAGTGACAAGGGTTGTAATATTTTGTAAAGGGGGGGAGGGGAATTGCAAGTAGAAATTGCCCCGCCCATTAATAATATCCTGAAGTGGTAGATCCTCCAGAAAATAAGCAGACAGCAGAATTCATTGCGTGGTGAAGAGCGATGGGTTAGTATGAATAGGGTGCGTCCGAGAGGATTGCGCTCGCTCCCACCTATCCCCTTTGATTTAAAGTTATCATTTATTACTCGAGGACGATACTTGAGATTAAGACATGGATATAGAAAACTTCTAATCTAGAAGGTCGCAGTTGAGTAGTGTGCGAGTCAATAGAACAGATGAACGCTTAGAAGGGTCGCCATTCGCAGGCTCGGCAGGGTGGGAGATTTTTGAGTGGGGCGACAGGGAGAAAAATACTGGTGCATTACTCCCCTCACCCCTAGATAATTATTTAATATTAGGCCAATATAATAAAATATAATGTATTAGTTTACTAGTTTGTAATCCGTCTAAAATAATTAAGAAGCTAACTATTTTGATCAGTTCTGTCGTAAATTCCTCTCCTACTTTAAATTGAAAGATGCTTATTTTTTATACTTTATAATATTTTCTATAAAAATGTTCACAGTGAAATCATTTTTTAAGTTAAAACATTCGAGTTATTTTAGATGAAATATTATTGTTTTCGAAAAGATTGAATTCTATTAAGTATTAGTTTTATGAAAAGGAATTCTTTTTTTGTAAGAAAAGAGTAAGTTTTAATATATATATATATATATAAAAAGGAGGAGAAATTTAATCAATTTATTATTATTTTTCCGCTATTATTTTCTTTTTGAGGGAGGGATTTTCTTTCTCATAGATTCTGTATAGAATTTAAATCCTGTCTCCGTAAGTAATTCAAATTTTTCGTATTTCTTTACTTTGTTCTTCTGATAAATCTAAATTATTGACTCAACTTCTCTGACCGCAAGTGAGGATAGGCCATATGCTTAGCAGAACCTTGCAATTTATTGAATGTCAATGGGCTAGTAAACGGAGTGAGATTCTTTCTTGAGCGTGGTGAATGTTACCTCATAGAAGGCATTAATTTGTCTATAGGTTCCGTAGAGAAAGCAAGTTACGGCGTAGAACGCTTTCTATCCTGCGTAGAAATTCGTAGCAATATTAGTTGCAGTCATTTATGATGGTACTAGTGCGGTCCACGTCCAACAGAATTCTAATTTTGTCTTCTACTAACTTGGATTCGTTGATTCTGCAACTCTTGCTAAAGCTTACGCCGCTTGAATGGTTACAATTAATATAAAAGCCATTGGCTCTTGTTTTCTGTAGATTTCATCAGCTGTATTTTACTGAAAATTGTCAGTAGCATTTAGGAAGTCTTTGGTAATCATGTTCCGCCAATTTATCGTCCTCTGCTTCTTGCCTATCCTACTGGCATGTAACGTTGACCACTCTCGTTACAAACGGAACACCAACAGCAGTGGGAGCTATCCCGATTTTATCCTAGGTACCGACGGTCCTGCAGATGCCGCAACTCTTGGCTACACCATAAATCACCATGCTCTCATTGTCAGCAACCTTACCTCTACCCTTGAGTTCTACGGTGATGTCCTCGGCATGAGACACATTTTCACTTTCCAATTGAATGCGAACTGGTCTTTGATGTTCATGGGCCATGCGCAGGGTGGAAAAAATGGAACTGGATTCCAGGATGCAATTACACTGGAAATGGAGAGAGGAAATAGGGAAGGACTTTTAGAGTTTTTATCCTATGCTGTATGTTCTATTACACAATATGACCTACCAGGGACTCACTCAAATGATACAGGGCACTGCACCACCAACACAAACAAAGCCTCATTCTTCCTTTTCGCATCTTGGTCTCATCGTACCCGATATTCAAGCCGCACAAGCACGTATGGAAGCAAAAGGAGTGAAAATTGTGAAGAGAGTTGGAGACGCGGTAGATATCAACTCACCTATTCCTGCTGCGCTTGGATTTCCAAATGTGCAGGCTTTTGAGGAGGGGATACCGGGGCTTGAGGCTTTGGGTTTTTATGACTTCATGATAATTGCGGATCCAGATGGAAATTTGCTTGAGGTTATTCAGCAGTATTGAATTTGTGTGGAGGGGCAAAAATTTGAGATGAGAAGAAAAGTTTGAGTAAGTTTCGAGAATTTCGAGGATAGTTGTACTAGTATTTGTAGAAATGTGATTAGCAATTTTTTGGTGCTGAGATTCAATTACAACCCCATATTCCGTGAAAAAGTAGCCTCAGTCTGACTTCCGTATGAGGCTGACCAAATGATAGAATCACCGGACTTGCTTGCTATGGCTCACCAGTAGGTAAATAATTTTACTGGTTTTGATAAAGAAGGCGCTTTCTCTAAGAACATATTTGGTGCAGAGAAGCAATGCTACCACAGAAGCATCATGTTGATCTAAATCACCTGACTAAGATTTCCATGATAATGTCCAGTCTACTAGCAGAGTATTCACTGATATCCGATGTGCGGCACATTGTTTGAAAATGGTAATTCAAGTAAGTATGTATGGTTGTTCTAATAAGATCCACTAATCCGAACGATTGTCTTTTAGTGCTCCCTACCAAGGAACCTTTGCCCCATCATAACCTACGAAGGTTCCTGAAGTTGAAGTCTTCGTTGCTGAATCAATCTATCTCAAAATCAGTACATGGGAGCCATTAATGTGCGTTTAGATCTCTTACCAGTGCCACAACAGCGCCAGAACTTTGTTCCACCGTCATTGGTGGTGCAGGAACACCAATACTATCCGCAAAATTTTGCCCATTCTTCGTTTGTACCCATCTAGAACGATCAGTTGTCTTCTTTCACTTCATTGATGCAACCAGATAACTTACCCAGGATGAACCGTTAAGACAACAATCTTCTCTTCCTCGTCATGTATCTTTTTTGCAGCGTAGTGCACTGCGGCCTTGGTAGCTCCATAGGCTGCAGTGGGTGCTCCGGCCATCATAGCCTCAATGCTCCCCAAGATACTTCCAATAATCACAAACTTTGCATTATCAGAAGCCTTGAGGAATGGAAGCAGATGTTGATAGAGAGCAATGGGTCCAAGTGTGTTGGAGTAGAAGTCCGTCACAAAAGCTCCAAGTGGCGTTTCAACAGTAGACTTGAAGCAGGTTCCACTTCCAGCGTTTGCAATGAGAACGTCAATTCTCTCAATACCCTGGGTCTTCAGGTTTTCAACCAATGCCTCATGCGCAATTCCAATGTCAGATACCGAGGTGGTAGAGATCTCAAGATTGGCAATGATTAAGTTACTGCCGTCGGCTTTAGGAAGCGCTTTGAGAGAGGAAACGTCGGTGGACCCACTGCGGACAGTCACTATCACTGTAGTATTGGCACGTTGAAGCAATGTTGAGACAATGCCAAAGCCAATTCCTGGAATCAGTTAGAAGAGTGAGGTGCTTGCATATACGGTATGATTTACTACTTACCTCGATTTGCGCCTGTGATGAGGTACGTGGTGTTTGAAGACATGGTTGATGAATGTAAACTATTACCTTTTGAACGGCTTTTCTTCAAAAACTGAAAGTCAATAAATTCTATGAAAGAAAGAGAGAGAGAGAGAAGCGGTATTAGAGGTCAAAGGATTGAGTCATTCTTTGGGGGGACGAGGAAGACACTCGTCTACAGAGAGGCATGCAATGCGCCTATGCGCCCCTCACGCGCTTCAGCACGATGTAACAATGCATAAGATTCTCTTTAATCATCTGATGATGAGCTTGCATATATCGGCAACTAGGTATGTGCATAACTACATCCTTGCCGATCTCTGCTTGCTCTCGTTTCCGAATATTGTGACCCCTGTACACCGTCACAATGACTGGTAGCAGTGATGCTAAGTCGTCGAGATTGAGGTCAATCGCCTCGTGTATAGCATAATTTAATCTTACAAAAATCCTTCTGGTACAGCCTCCACCACTTATATAAGCTATTCCAACTTCCAACAGTGTGCTCGATCCAATTTTATGTGCTTCAGAGGCGCATGGCAGCAAACCAGCATATAATCCTTGTAGCACGCACCTAAACTTCAAAGGCCACCACTTATATAAAAATGCAACTCAAACTTCACCCTGAAATTCGTGCATCCATCGGAGTTTGAAATTTTTGGAGATGCTTCCATGGGCTTTTCGAAAGTGTTAAGATTTTCCTTCAATAATCTAAATAGTTTGGCGATTTGAAGTGGCCCTGTCATTTCACGCCACTTCAATGTAACATTAGGATGGCTTGTTAACCGGCCATCATTCCCACCATATACAGGTGGTCGGTTAAAATCACACTCCCGAGACCGATTTCATCTCAACTTACATTTATGGGTGTTTAGCTCCTTCTTGCTGCGCATCCAGCAATGTAGATCGAGTGTAAGAATTGAGTAGAATGTTTTGAATGCTATGTAATACCCCATGTTAAGAGCTGTTGTGGGACTGCTCCTTGGGAGAGTGTAGTTCCTCGTCCCTGAATTTCTAAATTGAATTAGCCAACGAGTTTATTTTACCACCGTGATTCCCGCACTATTTCGCCTAGAATATCTCTCTAGTAACCTCCCTCCGGCCATCTCTATCTGGCGATCTTAACTTTTCATTCTCGTCTTTCTATTTTCAGTGAATCTCGTCCACACATCCGGCTGCTCAGGCTCCTGACAATGTCAGCAACGATCTCAACTCCGCTATACCCGGGCATCGATGTCGATGAAGATTTAGGCTCTCGTATCAACACCGTATGCGGGGCCATGATAGGACTGTCCTTTTTTACACTGTGTCTTCGTTTCTTTTCCAGATGGTGGACCAAAGTCGCCTTTGGAAAAGATGATTGTTTCATCGTTATTGGTGCCGTACGTATTCTGTTGTTCTACAATCAATTTGACTCTGACGAAACAACAGGTATTTGCGTGGGCCTTTTCAATATTTTGCATCGTCCAGGTTCAACAGAACTTTTACGGTCAGCATGTCGGAAAATCAGACATTCGACATATCAAGGATTTCATGAAAGCGCTTTACGTTTTAACAATCCTGTACCTCCCATCGATGACTCTAAGCAGGCTCTCTTTGCTTACTTTGTACTGGAGGATATTTGCAAATAGTAAAGGAAAATGGCCAATAATCATAGCAAGCGCTCTGAATGTTCTGTGGATGATAATTGTGGTAAGTCTATGATATATATTTCAATTTGTCTTGTCTAGGCTAACCTAACATATAGACAAGTCTCGCAATATTCAGCTGCAATCCAATTCATGGATTCTGGGACATTGATATCAAAAGCAAATGTCTTAGTCCTACCAATATATTTATTTCTACCGAAGCGTTTACAATTGGACTAGACCTCATTGTTCTATTAATGCCAGTATATTTTATAAAATCTATCAAGAGATCTTTGTCCCAAAGAATCTCAATCAGTAGCACATTTCTTGTCGGCATAATGTAAGTTCTTTACCTACCAAATCTCTCTTCCACGAAGCTAAAAGATGTTCAGTGTGACCGTAGTGTCTTGCGTGCGATTATGGAGGCTCATTCGTGGTTTGGCTCTCCCTGGATTTGATCCCACATGTATGTTTTCTGTGGACTTTTCTGCAAGTGACTCTGAGATCTAATCTTATGTAGTCAACGAAGTAGATGCCGGTGTTTGGGGGTCTGTGGAGCTTAACGTCTGGGTTCTTGTCGCTTCAGTTCCAGCATTACGACCTCTCTTTACAAAGTTATTCACGAAGAAGCAAACTGGTACTTCTGGTGTTTCTCGAACTTATGTGAACAGTGCCTCACGTGGAGTTAAAGCAAGGTTTGGACTGTCCAAGAGTAGCACGGCATTTTCTTTAAGTCATGAAGACCCGACTGACGATTTTGATACTCTCGTAAATCCCCAAAAGGGTGGAAACGGTGTAGCTTCTGCTATCAGTGCATACGAGCTGAGTAACATCAGAGATGCAAAGCACGGTACTATTCGAGTCGATCGGGAGGTAGATATCTCTGTACAGAATTAACTCCGCTAGCTGCCGTGATTAAGATGGGAGAGTTGGCAGAAGGCTGGGTAGAGTGGAATAGGGTCACTGGAAGCTAGGCCTGAGAAACCGCTGGCGCCAAAGTAGATATAAATGTACAATAGTTTCATTTTTCAAGAACAATTTCACTGTCTTTACAACTACTACATTTCTTCGGATTCTCATGAGCCATGAACTGCGACCATTATACTCTATTTTCACAAGAAACTTCAACTCCAGAGGCATCGTCTTTTCTGACCTTACTAGTCGTTATGATTTCTATGACCGAGTCCCTGTTAGAGACACAAAACTAAATAATTGAAAACGTCATTAGCTTGTGACTATCCCCTAGAGTGCGGATATTCAGCGCCCTCGCTTAAAAGGGATCTTAGTGACCAATCAGAACATCAGGATACTTGGAATTTAATTACATATCCACATTCAATCTTTAATACAAAATCTTTTTAATATTATTTCTATTTCGAAACTTTGAAGAAAATAATTAATATTAATTTCTAATCTTTAGTCTTTTAATTCTTCTTAGAAAGCTATAATTTGAAATTAAGATTTCTTTTTATAAACAGAGTGATTAAAAGAGCATTATAAAAACTAATCTAATTAATCAGATTTCTTTGTACAAGGTATATTATACGGACTATAATAAGCGCTATTTGCTCGTACTCTAGGGGATAGCGCCTTTTTGAGATAATTAGTAACAAATTCAACTTCTTAGTATAGATTAATTATCGAGTAATAGGCGTAGCTCCCGATATATAAAGCCTTCGGATTCTAGTCGGTAAAACCAATCGCATAATATTAAATATTATATTTAAAATATATATAATTAATAACTTTACAATATATCGCTTAGTTTTGATATATTATTTCCAATCTAAATTTTAGTCTTGATAAATTTATAATCTAATTACTTATTACGATTCTTAAAAAAATCAATTATTCTCTAAGATATTGAATGTCAGGGAGCGATTACCTGATGCTGGGTTTATATAGTAGATCCACTGTTCCGAACGTATTCGAAACACTCCACGCTTTTGTGGGTTAGCGGTAAAGTGGATCAATCCTAATATTGAAAATGAGTTCCGTCGCTTAATAGAAACTTCTTAATTAATTAGATTATTACAACTCCTTGAATTTAATCTAATATTTATATTTATTCTTTAGGGCCCGTTCGGATCGATTTTTTTTTCGACATTAGACCT